TAAATTAATTATTTACATAAAAATTAAGTATCTGGTTAATATCATACATTAATATACCTAAATCGCGCAGATTAATGCTTAAAATAAAAATATAATAGACTATTAAGGAACTCACGTCCATAGAATTGATCCCATCATGTGCAGTCCTATCAGCTATTTCGTTTCCAGTGATACCTTTGTGTGATGGTATCCACATAAAAGAAACTTCAATTCCTTTCAGAAGTAACCTATGTACAAGCTCTCTAATACTATACAGAATATAATTAATCTTGTAATGAACTTTATGACATTCTAAACTTTTAATCAAACTAAGAGAATCGGTTAAAATGAGAAAATAATTATAGTTATTTACAGTAAAAATTCGCTTAAGAGCCTCTAGGACTGCATACGCCTCTGCTGTAAATATGCTACATGCATTATCAAGAACAAAGCTTTGCGAGAACTTGATCTGGGGGTCATAAACAGAGCTTCTAACATATAAGTTTGATTTACTGCCATCTGTATATAAAGTGTAATAGTGATGCTCATCTAAAAAGGCTAGTAGGTCTTGATTATTGAAAATTAGACTTTCAATAATCCTAATTTCATTCATCTGAATAAGAAAGTGATTTGAATAAAAGGGCCATAATGATTTCTTTTGTAATCTATGATATTTATTTTGTAAGTAGAATAGAATATCGGACAACTTAGAGGATGTACCTATCTGCAGATCACAATATGTTGCCAAAGCTGATTGTGGTATTATTTTATTTATCACTTGCATATTGTTTGAAGAAAGCAATTTTATAAAGAATCTCTCTATTAAAAGTAATCTCCTAAGTGATAGTGGCATTATTACGGTTTCCACTTCCATGGCTCTGATAGGTGTAGAGCACATTGCCCCAGATATGATCCTTAAAGCTTTGTTCTGTATAATGTCTAATTTATTTACATTTTTACAATTTACATAAGCTATACAACTATAGTCAAAGTGACTTCTAACAATAGCTTTGTACAAAACCGAAAGAGTTATGGGATCGGCCCCCCATGTAACTCCAGCTAGACATTTAATAACATTTAATCCTTTTAATGATTTAGATATAACATGTTCAATATGAGGTTCAAATGACAATTTTTTATCAATAAGAACTCCAAGGAATTTATGTTGGTTGACTTCCGGTATAACTTGGTTGTCAATCATAACTGCAGTAGATGGTAAATCTTTACTAAATATCATGGCATTGCTTTTTCTCGGGTTTATTTTTAACAGAAGTTTATCATTATAATAAGTTTTTATATTGCTTAAGGCTATATTTACATTCTTAATAGCAGAGTCCACATTGTAGTCTATACTATATAAAACTAGATCATCTGCAAATTGGAGAATATTTACACAGTTGGTATTTACATATTTACAAATTTCACATGTATAGAGATTATATAACAAAGGGGACAAAATGGCCCCTTGCATTGTGCCTTTAGAAGCAGTTCTTGGTCCATGTAATGTATTATTATATTTAACATAAAGTGTCCTATTGGTCACAAAATTATGAATCCATTTACACAATAAGCCAGGTATACCTAAGCCAGATAGTATATGAATAAGAACTCCTGGTTGAATGTTGTCAAATGCACCTTGAATATCAAGAAAGGCACATGCTACACTTTTATATGGTTTTGCATTTTTCAGGTCTGTTATAAGAGAAATGAAACTTTCTGCACAGCTCCTGCCACGTCTAAAGCCATACTGAATATTTGGTAAAATATTATTAGATTCAATAAAATGGTCTAAACGAAGCTTTAACATACTTTCAAAAATTTTACCTAAACAAGAGGATAATGATACAGGCCTATAGGAATCACATTCATCTGGTGGTTTATCAACTTTAAGGACTGGAATCACACATTGAGTTTTCCATGACTGTGGAATTAATTGTTTCATCCATAGTGCATTAACAATATCTAAAAATAACTTTTTGGGAGTAATGTTCAATTTAGTTATAAGAATATATGGAAAGTCATCCAAACCAGGTGAAGTATTTCTACGTGATTCGAGACTAGTCAAAAATTCGTACCATGTAAAAGGTTGTAATAAGTGTGAAGAATAACTGTTATTATTATTTAAATTGAAGATATTATTAAGGTGTTCGGTATCGTTAGAAGAATTATCAGATAATTTGTTTAAAAATGGAACAATAAATGTATCACAAAATGATTTGTTGCTTGGTTTTATTCTTTTAAACATTTTAATATTATTCCAAATAGTTGAAATAGGTGTAGTTCTGTTAAAACTATTACAAAGAGTTCTCCAACCATTCTTTTTCTCTTCTGCAATTATTCTTTTTTTGATAGCATCAATTTTTTTATAATTTATAAAATTTTCAATTGTAGGGAAACGTCTATAAAATTTTAATGTCTCTTTTGATTTAATCACACTGAGCTTACACCTTTCATTCCACCATGGAGTTGGGGGTCTAGTTCTATATTCGGATGTTTTAGACAATTTTGGAATACACTGTGATTTTAGCATTGAAAGAGTTTCACAGAAAAAATCATAAGATGCAAGAGGATCATTAGAATCGATAATAATATGATTAAAGCTTAATGTAGAAAGATCATTGTACCTATGCCAATTTGCCTTATTGTACAGAAATTTTTCACAAGGAGGATTAATGATATATTGATCTATTGTCAGGGTTATATCTGTAATTGTTGGGAAATGATAACTACCCATATTATCATCGTGGACTGACCATTTACACAGTGGAGTAATACTTGGACTAGCTAGAGAAATGTCTATGGCCGATGGATTGCGATTGGGATATTTTAGTGTAGTAAAGTCGCCTTCATTTAATATACATAAGTCTAGCTCATCAATAATAGAATATAATTGCACACCACGGCTTTTAGAGGACAAAGAGCCAAAAGCAACATGGTGAGCATTGAAATCCCCTGCTATGAAAATAGGTGCGGGCAGACTTTGTATAATATTACGTAATGCATTTATTCTTAAAGGACCTGAAGGAGGGCAATAGACACAAAGAATGGTTAAATCGCCATTACAAGTAGATAAAGATAAAGCAACAGTTTGGATATCTTCGTAAAAAACCATTGATAGAGCTTTGTATTTAAAAATGGGTTTGATAAGAATAGCGACGCCACCATGTTCATTTAAGGCATTCTTATAATAAATGTTATAGCCAGGGATGGAACAAGGCCGTCTGTCTTTTATCCAAGTTTCATTTAAGAGGCAAATGTCTATGTTACTATCTCTCAAGAAATTAACTAAAAGGGGAATCTTATTGTAAATACTTTGAATATTAAACTGTGCAATCCTTAACGTCGTTTTATTACTGTTACTAAAATTATCCATAATTAAGTAAGGTTTTTAATTAATAATTCTTTAATTGACGTAGAAGTTATGGGAGAATCGTCCCCTTTGTTAGCTATTGTTACTAGAGTTCGAACTATTGCGTTTGTGATTTCAGAGTTATTAATCAATTGATTCTTAAGTTCGTCTAACGAAATGTTTTTTTGGGATGCAGGCTTTACAAATTGTACTTTATTTTTTTGTATTAAAGTTGATGGTTGGACATTATGACTATCTGTTTTATTTACATGTTTATTATGTACAAGAGTAGGAAATTGCTCCTCGTAAATTTTATCCTTTAACATATTGGTATTATTAGTAGCGGCAGTACTGGCATACGTGACTTTACTTTTCTTTTCTTGGATCTTTTTGACTTTAACAGGACATAAATTCGATATTGCCAAATGTGGACCACTACAGTTAGCACAGTTAAGTTCATTAGGCTTATTGCAATCTTTATAGAAATGCTCTCCTGAACAAATACTGCAACGTTGTTTACCGTTACAAACTTTTGCCGAATGATTAAATTTAAAACAGCGATAGCACTGTTGCAGAGTTTGTAATGGTACTCTTTCATGGCCAACTTTTTTAATAAATCTACGCACAGCTATTATTTCGTACATCGAGGATAATTTACAGTAAAGTTTTTTATTAGAAATGTTGGCTGGTACATGTCTGATAATTCCAGTTTTTTCAATTTGAGCAGCCGGTATGTAAGCTTTCATTTTATATTTATCCAAAAAAGCAGTGTTCATCAGAAAGTTATTTGCAGTATTATACTGCTTAAACACAACTGCAATTTTTATTGCATAGACCCGGTGAATGGCCACCACGCCTTTGATATCAGTGGTAAATATGTGGTTTAAATAAATTGGGCTCTTGTTGCCTAGTCGATCATTGTTATCAGTTTGTACAAATACTTTATAATCAAAATTGGTAGAATTTTCAGGGTAGAGTCTTTTGTATTGTTTGTACTTACGTATAGTAGGTGATTTCTTGTGACTTTTTAAATTTATTCGTGTAATTTTTACAGGATTTCACCACACAAGACGGCATTTTTAATTATTTTTATCAGAGCAATTGAATGTGTGACTGCCGCTGTCACGCGGTGTCAAATGGCAGCGGTTTGTCCGACCTGGTGCATTAGTGTGAGTGTAGGTAGTGTACAACAAACGATTTTGTCTGACCTTGCATGCTTCACATGATTTGCCTTTGATGTTACGTCCTTCTTTTTTTTAGGTCCGTGGGCGGGTGGAAAAAAATTGTACCAACGGGAAAATGCTAGATTTATTTAATTATGAAAATCTGTATTCACAAATAGGAGAAGAAAAAAAGTATTATAGGAAATTGATATTTTGAATGTTCCTTAAAATAGCAAATTTTGTCATTTTTTTTATTTGTTAATACCACAGACATATAACTAGTATTATATGTCTGTGGTTAATACAAAGCGATTGCGTTTTTTTTTAGAAGTTATCATTTTGGGGAAAATCATAAAGCTGCGTTTGGCAACGCAGATACTGGCACGATTCTCTAAACCTAAACCAAAATTTGACAACAGTGTGTCCCTATCATTCTATAAACAGAATGAAAAGGAGAGACTGACATTTAATTTAGTTTTCAATTATGAGAATCGACACCATTGCCAACTAAATTGTCAAATGCCAACTATCCAAGCAATAACTGGATTTTTTTAGTAAAATAAGCTGTAAAAAGAAAAATACCTTTTCTTAATGTTTTATTGAAAGCAAAATAAGGTTTTCATAATAAATAAGTACTTTATATTACTTACCGATCTAAAACTATGGATGTCTTTGAACTACATTCAAAAGTTTGTGAGTCATCAGCATCAAAGAATAATGATGACTAAAATATATTACTTTCTAGTGTCTTTGACTACCTAACTGGATATTTATAAAACATGTCTGAAAGAAGAGGTACAAAGGCTTTGGAGCTTTGGTGTAAACGCCTGGTAAAAGATTGCCCTGATGTGCAAATAGATAACATGACTACATCTTGGCGAAATGGCATTGCGTTCTGTGCATTGGTACATCATTTCAGACCAGACTTGATGTAAGTATTCCTACTTATAATATCACCATTAAATAAACTGTTACCATTATTTCTAACATAATCATATTTTTTCAGTGACATGTCAAAATTAAAACCAGAAAACATTTATGAAAACAATCAACTGGCTTTTTGTATAGCAGAGAAGCATTTGGGCATTCCAGCTCTTCTTGATCCTGAAGATATGGTTGAAAGTGAAGTTCCTGACAGATTATCAATATTAACTTATCTCTCACAATTTTATCAACGTCTAGGCCACACTGGTAAACTGTGTTTATTTTTTTATTAATGATAAACTTATTATATAGGCATAATTTAAAGAAAGAATACTTTCTTTACAGTAAACACAAAATCTTCAGAAGGTGAACCTAAAGTGTCTTCTACACAGTCAACTCCATCAGAGGTAATTATTACTAAAAAAAACAACCACATACATCTAGTTAATATTATTGTATGTTTGCAATTCTACTTTTCTGGAATGTTTATTTCTTCCTTACATCTTTCAACTACACATTTTCACTTTCTAGACTCCTATCAAGTTTGGCAAGTCTGGACTTGACAAATGTGCTGCATGTGGACTGCCTGTTTACTTGGCACAACGCCTCCTTGTATCTCACAAACTTTATCATAGAAGATGTTTCCGTTGCTCTAAGTGCTCTGGACACATGAATCCAAAGAACTTTGATACAGTTGATGGATCTGAATTTACTTGTGATAGTTGCAAAAATGAAAAAACTTTGTTAAAATTTATGAATAACAATGATCATAATCAAATGGGAATGCTAGCATTTAGTGAAGATTCCCTAACAAAATACACAGAAACTCAAAAAACAAAATACCCTGAAACTCAAAATGAACAGTCAATTAGTTCTAAGCAGAGAGTGAGGCCATTGTCCATTCTAGGTAAGTACTCTGTTTATTCTACACTCTGCTTCATGTGTGTGTGTGTAAGTTAGTTTTTTAAATATATTACTTCATTGTATTACCAGATGATATATATATAGGGCTGCCATCCGTCTGGGTTTCCCCGGATTTGTCCTAGTTTACGGCGCATCTGAGGAGCGTCCGGGCGGGGTTTCATTTGTAGGCAGGGTTTAAAAATTTCCTGTTTTGGGTCGCCAATTAATCCGTCAATTTAAAGTTCTTTTTAAATAAATAAATCTTTCCTCTCTCAAAGATCAGCTCCGTCGCTCACTTTGTACGCAATAACAGCATTCATTGTTATGTGGATATCAGCACTGACACTTTACCAGTGTAAAAAGTGTCAGTGCTGATGACTGATGTAGACGAGGGATGTTTGACCGACCAGTGTCTGTCAAACATCCCTTGGATGGAAGAAGAAGGGTATAAAGACAGACTTGTGTCCGAGATTCAGATGTTACTGGATCAAGTCTCAAATTGGAGCCAACAAAATTTGATTGGATTAACCCAGCAAAGACACAAGTGTGTGTGAAAAAGCTTGGGTGCTTAATAGATCTAGTAAGTACCTCAAGCCTAAATACCGGGTGTTACTTTACAAAGCACTGGTCCTCTGGGCTGGAGCACCCTCCTCCTTCCTCTTGACCGGATACAAAAGCAGGCAGTTTGACTTATGATCCTGAGCTCACTGACGCGTTGCAACCCCTTAGCATGCACAGACGGTACAACATGCAAAGAATACAACTCCTTATACGTGTTGTACTGTCTATACAATGGAGAGTGTTCCGAGGAATTATTCAACCGGATGTCAGTGGCCAAGTTTCTCCACAGCACCACACACCGCAGAGAAGTTTAATGCCCACCATCTGGACGCCTGGCCTTCGAGCACCATGTGTTCCTTTCTTTTGCATACCAGCAAAATCTGAAACGAACTTTCCTCAGTTTTTTTTTTCTTATAGCTATGATATGGTTTTCTTAAAAAGGCGGATGAACCTTTTCGTTCATGACCGGCAACGCATGAGTGGCCCTTAGTGCTGCAAATGTCCATGGACAACAGTGACCACTTAGTATGAGAAGGACTGCTCTTTTGCCTACATCAACATAAAAAGTTGATTTGTGACATTTTTAACTGTTTTTTTAATTGGTCTGTCCGGGTTCTGGGCTCCGAAATCCGGGGTTATCACGCGTCTTGTCCTGGTTGCCACATTTTAGAGATGGCAGCCCTATATATACATAGTGATTTTTGTAAATGTATAAGTAATAAAATAAAAAGTATAAATAATTATTTTATGTATGCATAAAAGAAAAATGTAGATTTCCACTAAGTAATGTTTAACTTAAGTTTAGAGACTGGGACATATAAAAGAAATGAATCTACATTTAAAAAAGTAAATCAGCCAATTGTTTTCCATAATTATGTTAATTTGAATATTTTTTAATAGTATATAAAATTGCAAAATTTTATTCACTTCCCCTTTCCTTTCAGAAAAAATAAATATGTTTGAGAAAAATTCAGACAAAGATCAAGAAGTAGTGACTGATAAAATTAGTAATTTATCTTTAAAAGATAACTTAGATAGTAATAATATTAATATAAGTGCACCAAGTATAGCTAGCCCTACAGAAACTACAGATGTTGAACCGAATATTAATACTTACACAGAAAATGAAGCTTATGAAGGTGTACATACTGTTGATAATGAAGAAAAAAATATCAATATGAAATATGAAAATGTATTGATGCTCAAACATGAGGAATCGCCTCCAAAAATATATAAAAGTAACATTAATAAATTTATGTTTTTGCAAACCCAATTATCTAGTGACACTTTGTGTGATAGTACACTCATAGATGGTGAAATATTACCTGAACCTGCAATGACGCGCAATAACGAGCATGTTCCTAAATTTAATTCAAATATAGAAAATGAAACAATTAATGTTAGTCCAACAATTAATAACCCTAAAGAAAATAATGTATCCTATGAACAAAATAAAAATGAGGACCAATCTATAAAGGAAGAAATTAGTTTAAAGAAAGGAAATGACATAGAAGCACAAAGTATTTTAAAAGAAAATAGTAATGCAACTGATGAGTCTAGATTAGCTAAAGAACTAAATATATTATCAAATGAAAGTAAAGATGCACTAGAGGTAAATGAAGCTAATAAAAATGAAATTGAACAAGAAGTCAATATAAGTGTACCTCCCAGAAGAAAAAAACAGCAACTTAATAAATTGATATCTCCAGAAGTAAGAGATGAAAATAAGAAAAAAGATTATCCAGGTCATTTAAACCCATTTTCAGATGATGAAGAGGTGTGTTATCTTATTGAAATTTTAATGGTATAGGCAGCCACACTTTCTTTGTGATAAGTGAATGTTTGCCTGTGTATACCATAAATTATATAAAATTTTATTGATAAACTCATCAATAATTATCACTATGAAATCATTATTGAACTCAAAAAAAGTCAAAATGAATTGGCAATGACAGTTTTGGAGAACTTGGCTGTCTGTACATATTGTCATAAATATTTTTATTTTTAGGAATCTAATTCCCAAGTCAATTCAAAGAAAGTTAGTACTAATCCTTTTGGCAGTAGTGATGAGGAAGATGATGTTGTTCCTCCAATACAGACTCTCCCAAAGTTATCAATCAATCAACAAGGAGTACCTGTGTAAGTCTATCCATAATACCTATTAGTGCATATCAAACATCTTTTAATTTGAAACAACAAGAGCTTAAGAAGAAATTACATACATTTTTTTAACAAGGCTTGAAACAATGTCTCACTTTGTAGTACAACCAATATGGTTTATATGTATATTGTTAAAGCTCAATAACAATAACTTTTTTTTATAGAAAAAGGCTCATTACAGCTCAAAATCCTTTCTGGTCAGATGGTGAAGAACCATCCTCAGAAGATGACGACACACATGAAAGGTAATATTAAATTTTAAGGATTTTTTCTATATTTTTTTTTCTTAAGATTTATTTATAGCTACCAGTTTAATGTTTACAATTTAAAATAAAATATGTAGTTTTGATAAGATAAATTTAAGCTACTATATCACAAAGAAAATTTTACTAGAAAAAAACCCTGCGGACCAGGCAACAGACGGGACTCGAACTGTGGATTACCTACAATGCAAAGAGATGGCGCTGCCTTGCAGTCTATAAGAAATACTAGAGAAAATTCGACACGGACAATTAGGGCCGCGGTAGCAAAATGATCAGTGCATCCGCCTGGACAGCAGAGGGTGCGGGTTCGAGTCCCTTCTGCACTCTCTCACTTTTCCATCCAATATAAATAAATCTATAAAAAGATCCTATGTAATGAAGCAATTAAGATAAGAATGTTCTTAACATAATGTATTTTATCTGCAGAAATGAAAATGCGAAAATATAATAAAAAATTAAACTCCCAGTGAGCGAAAGTTTGAGGTCCTGATAAATCGTTTAGTTCCTTATGACGACAGAATTAAAGTTCATTTTCGGACGCCTTTTTTACTAGATCGAAAGTGTACCATTATTTTGTCGCCATAAGTGTCAGATCTGTCATCGCGCGATCGCGTTCCTTCTTTGACCGCACTGTAAATGGACATAACATAATACTTGATACACAAGAAAGACCAAAGGCTTTAGATACACCAAATCTTTGTCGGCCGAACTCGGGCGTCACCGGCCAAACTTGGCCGATCGAATCAAACGTATGTAAAAGAAATAGAGAGCGTGTACATACATACTCTACTACAACGGCCATTGTCCGAATACATATATAATGTGTATCGGCCAATGACGCTCGAGCATAGTTCGGTCGATAACGGATTTGGTGTATCCGAAAAAGTATGTCGTTTCACATTGTGAAAATTGTTCACGTCGTGAATCGTACGCGGGTTCGATTCTCAGCCGTGGAAGGACTTTTTATATTTTCACACTTTTAATAAGCCAAAAAAAATTAAGGCGATGTTAAACACTTTAAAAGTTACCATCCAAAGGTAGAAAGTAGTAAAGGTGGAAGAGATCGCTTTTAGCGATAAGGCCGCCCATTGTATCAGTAGTATTTAATATTTTATGTGGTGAAAATAAAGAGTTTAGTATTGTATTGTAAGTTTCACTTGCATCGTGATCTTTTTTTATTCGAAGCTCACGGATGTATAAATCCTCAATGGCGACGAGCACACCGAACCTTCCGTCGAGCACGCCGCGCCGTAGGAAAGCACCGGCGCCTCCACCACCCGCCATCACGGTCTCCGAGACCCCAGCCATGGGCCACCCTTCCACGTCTATGGATGATGTAGCTAGCATCTCGTCTCTCAGCTCTTACAACTCCACTATTCATTCGGATCAAGTAAGTTTCCTCTTCAATAATTTACTTACCTTCCGTCGAGCACGCCACGCCGTAGGAAAGCGCCGTCGCCTCTAACGCCCGCCATCATGGTCTCCGAGACCCGAGCGCTGGGCCATCCTTCCACGTCCATGGACGATGGAGCTAGCATCTCGTCTCTCAGCTCTCACAACTCCACTATTCATTCGAATCAAGTAAGTTTTCTCTTCAATAATTTACTAACCATCCGTCGAGCACGCCGCGCAGTGGGAAAGCACCGGCGCCTCCACCGCCCGTCATCACAGTCTCTGAGACCCCAGCCACGGGTCGCCCTTCCACATCCATGAACGATGTAGCTAGCATCTCGTACCTCAGCTCTTACAACTCCACTATTCATTCGGATCAACTAAGTTTTCTCTTCAATAATTTACTAACCTTCCGTCGAGCACTCTGCGCCGCCACCGCCCGTTATCATGGTCTCCGAAATCCCAGCAGTGGGCCACCGACGTCCATGAACGACGTAGCTAGCATCTCGTCTTTTAGTCTCTAAGCTCTGACAACTCCTCTATTCATTCGGATCAAGTAAGTTTTTTCTTCGATAATTTCCCCCGTAATCCTTATCAATAATCGTAGGCCCACCGCCCTCCATCAGTATCATCCGAGACCCCAGCGCAGGGCCACCCTTCTACGTCCATGGACGACGTAGTTAGCATATCGTGATGAAGTCTCTAAGCTTGACAATTCTACACTCCAGTTTTCTTTCGGATAAGAAGTAAGTTTTCTCTTTAATCAATTAATAACCTTCCGTCGAGCACGCCGTCACGGTCTCCGAGACCCCAGTCCTGGGCCACCCTTCCACGCCCATGAATGATGTAGCTAGCATCTCGTCCCTCAGCTCTTACAACTTTACCATTCATTCGGATCAAGTTAGTTTTCTCTTCAACAATTTACTATCCTTCTCTCGAGCACGCTGCGCCGCCACCGCCTGCTATCACGGTCTCTGAGGCCCAAGCCCTGGGCCACCTATCTACGACAGTCGACAGCTGCAATAATATAAAACTGGCACAGCTTCCGGCGTCTTCCATCTTCAGTGAAAACAAAATGCAAACAATGAAAGCGTTAATCTAACAATAAAAACACTAACTAAATGAAAGCTAAAATCAAAATTGTCACAATCACTAAAATATATTTTGTATCTATATTCAAGCGAAATTACAGCATTCTAAGAGTCTCAGAGCTAAGACTTCTTAACTTTGGAATCCTAAAACTAGTTGTTACTTTCTCTATGCCCTTGAAATTACGACTGATTTGTCGGTATATTTTACTCTTAGAAATCTTGTGGCATATCTACACCACGGCTCAAGAAGAAACGTCCAGCGCCGACGCCCCCCGACAGCTTGTCCACGATGTCAGGCTGCGGCTCCATGGACAAAGGCATCGATTCATCGGGCTTACGATCCAACACATCGGACTGTAAGCTTTCTTTAAACACAGATTTTCCAATAAACAGCTATTTATTTATTTCATCATTATCATCATCAGCTTATTACTGTCCCCACTGCTGGGGCACAAACTTCCCTATGGATGGAATGGGCAGATAGGGCCGTGATCCACCAAGCGGGCCTTTTCAGGCCCGTGCCATCCATCGGGACCATCTGCTTAACGTGTCTTCCAAAGCACGGAGGAGCTCGAGATAGTAAATTTTTGATGGCAAAGCCACCCATTGCCGACCACTGCGAAAGTTGCTTATCTTCAGCGATGGTAGCCGAACGTGCTAACCATTTGCCACATTGAGCTCGTTGTTTATTTGTAATTTACTTAATAGTTACCCTGATGGCTTCTGTCTCTGGTGCAATCGCGAAACATATTATAAAGTAAACTTAACTTTGATAAAATTCGATGAAATGTTTGGTATGTACCTTCTAGTCCTAGAAATATACATTCTATCTACACTAAAGTAGATCTTGGTGCCTTTTATTTTTTTAGTTTCATGTACTTTGTGCTTTAATTATGTTGATTTTATGCCATTGGTGATTAGCGATATTGGCTTTGATACGTATTTACTTTCTAAAACTAGTAGGAGAAACGATGGCCATAGCATGACCACTATTTATCGATATGTAACAGTCAAAATACAATTGATTATGACAGTTGAGCATTAGTAAACGCTGTATCTTAACATGTTGTGGCGATTATGTTAAGAGGCAAAATCTGCCTTTTAAAATATGCATCTGATGTATATTTGTGCCGTCCTGTCGTAGGTATAGCCGTAATTCGTGCAACAACTACGAGCATACATAACATTGGTTTTCGTTTATTTTACTATTAGACCACAATTTTACTTTTTTTACAAAAAATATTTTGCCTCATGTATCAGATAAGATAGGCTATCTAATACCCGAGAATTTTATTTAGTCAAAAAAAAATATTACATGTAAAAGAAAACTTTTTCTTTAGATTTACATATCTTGCAGTTAAATGCTTAAAAATAAAAATTTAAATAATTAAAATCACAACTTCGTTTTTACATTGACGACCTCCGTGGCCCGGTGGTATAAATATACTTATATATGTATCTGTTTAGCTATTCTATCCGTTTGTAAATTTAAAGAAAACTTTTACTAGAAAAATAATCCACTCGGTCCTGTATGAAACATGGTCTGAGTGGAGTTTTGTAATATTTCTTTTTCCAATATACACCAATTAGCCTAACCCCAAAGTAAGCACTGTAAGACTTGTATTACGGTATCTAGCATCCCATAACACAAGTGTTACAAAACTCCATTCAGTCCAGGTTTCAGACAGGACCGATTATCTATACAGATACATAAATAAGTATGTATATACCACTCGGCCACGGAGTTAAATACTTAAAATTAAGGCTGAAACAGACTTATGAAACGCGACGCGTATTTTCTATGGCGCATCGCGTCGCGTCTAATGTTCCTAATGTATTCATAGAAAATAGTACATTTTGGTTTGACTAAACACGCACGGCGTGGCGTCGGGTGGTGTCGCGTTTCGTAAGTGGTGGTTCTACTCGCAAGGTAATATTGTATGCAAATTATATTGATTTCCTGTCGAAACTGTACAACTTAATGGTTTCTAATATGACACTATAAATTATCTCAGTACTAAATATATATCTTCCAAAAAAAATAGTTTTAATGCATAACTTTATTATAAATATGTACTTAATATCTATACAAAAAATGAAATGTATAATTTAAATAATTTAAATGTGTTTGTTTTTGCATTTTACCTTTAATGCGAAACTTATTCGAAAAAAGTGTATTATATTTTTTCTCTCGGTTTTTACCTCAGTCTCCTGCTACATCAAAACACGTTAAAATCAGTTTAAATTACCGCGTCTAGCGCGTTACAGTTAGTACTGAGTGAAAGATCAAAGTGAAATTAGCTTACAAGCACTCGCATCAGTCTCGGCTCGCAGTTGACTTTGTCGCTACGTTTATGATGTGTGAGTGAGGTTCTTCTGCGTTCAGCAAACTTAACAGTATCCTGGTACGTATTTATTTAAAATCCATTGTGTTCTAAATATGTAGTCTTTTGCATTCATGAGTCGTAAATTCGTAATATTAGAGTACAGCATTGTATAATTATAATATTGAATGTTACATTGACGTAGTTATTGGCTAAAACTTAAGATAATCTCAGTATTCTGTCTTCAGTCTCTTGGAATCATAATAGCAAGAAGTAGATTTTCTCGGAATCTACTAGACCGATTAAGTTAAAATTTGCTACATACATGTATGTCTGTGACCCAAACACGGACAAATTAAGTAAATAAATAAATTCCGATTTCATTTGTTTCAATTTGGTATCAATACTCAGTCTCCCGGGCGCATATTTTTTTAAATGATCATAAAGGAGATTGCTCAGCTTCCATACATATTTGGCCTAAAGACCAATAATCATGAAAGTTGTTTCCTAGATTCGAAATTATATATAAATTACTAGAGAAATGAATATTATTAACGGACACCCCTGAGAACTTCTATAAACCATATACACTGCACATATTAAAATAATAAAAAACAAATAAGTTATATAGTAAACTAAGGAAATCAAGCCAAATACTGAAATTATGTATTAGATTCAGTTATATAGAGCACGTAGATTAACAGATAGTTGCCTGTTTTTAAAGTTAATGCATAAGAGTAACTTTTAAAATCAGGTGTCATTTCCGATTATAATAAGGCGCTGTGAAAGAAACTGTGTGATGATTGTGAATGAGCCACAGACTAGAGAGAATTTTTAAACTCTCTTTAACCAAAGAAAGCTAAGAGATTTAGGTTCTATAGCCATATATTCAGTAGCTTCATTATTTATGTTATGTTTTTAAGATAACCATATTTTAGATTTTTAGTGTATCACACCTTATAATTTTATTTATTTATTAATTTATAGTCAGGGAACGTAGGCCCATAGATAGATACCTTAAAGTCTAACACATATACAGATTATAATGTGGTTATGGAGGTGTTTGGCGAAAAATGTATGGCAATAGGCTACGATGTCGCCTACCATCTATAATAATTGTCTGAGCACATTTGCATCTAGTGAAAATGAATGGTGGATATTAATACCACAGTGTAATAAAAAAAATGATTTATTTTATCGATCTTTACAAAATAGATTTGTTTTTATGTTATATAAACAACTTCGATCAGTCTTTGGCTGAATATTACTATACCCATAGCCATTAAAAATGATTCGTATGTTTTACAAACCGGTAAAATTAAACGTCCTTTTTAAAGTAAATATATTATACAAAGGTGTCCGTTGAAATCTAATGACTGTAAATTAAATTATAAATTACGCCAAGAATTACCGTGTAAGTCAATATTTTTTGTGCATTTGGGCCAATTTGAGCAATCTCCTTTGGTATATTTTATTTTTTTGACTGGCCCGTTTGATATCAGTTAAGAACGCCCTAAAGTAGGCGTCAAGATACTTTTCTGACCTTAGATGCCAAAAAAATGTATGCCGTAAATCACTTCATTTTCATTCCTCCTGAGTAGAACTACCCTAGTCTGTTTCGGCAATTACAGTACTTACTCTGGGAATAGGCTAATTGATGTGAGTGTGGGGAATATATATTATTATTATATTTTACATAGCAAGTAGAAAGACTAAAGGCCCCGCCCCCGGGTTGCCTCTGCCCGAGAGGCGCGAGGTGAAGCTCCAGATGTCCCCCGAAGAGCTGCAGGTGCAGCTAGACCTGCTGGAGACGCAGCAGCTCGGCCTGGAGCGGCAGGGCGTGCTCATCGAGCAGATGATACGCGACAAGTGTGAGGGTAAATCCGACTCCTGCACATTTTACTACCATACAAGCTTGGCACCCGTACTCTTATCTAATTCTGTGTAAATGTATATCTATACTCTTTTCAATTTTTGGATCTTATTACCCCAGCAATATCATTGATAAATATTAGAAAAAATAAAGGTCCCAAGTGAGACCCTTGTGGTACACCTGAGGGTATAGTCCTAACTCTAGATTTATATCCGTGTATAGCAACCAACTGAGATCGATTCCTCAGATACGACTCGCACCATCTCAAAAGTGATCCGTGCACACCCATGTATTCTAGCTTTTGAAGTAAGAGGTCATGATTTCCAAGGTCAAAACCCTTCTAAAATCTGTGTACACAGCATGAACTTCGCCTCTATTGTCGAGAATATTACAAAGGTAGTTAACATACGATAAGAGATTAGAAGTAGTTGACTTACGAGGCATAAATCCATGCTGCTCCGAACTAAGAAGACCTTTAACATGGTTGTAAAGATGTTTCTGAACAAGCGATTCAAGAATTTTACCGGGTGTGTACAAAAGCGAAACCCTTGGTTACACAAGGAGCACTAAGACGGCCACTGTGGTTAAAAATTCTCACCTCTGCTGTGACTACAAAGTCTCATCGTTACGGTGGCTACAAATTCTCACCGCATCTACCTGCAAACTTTGGTTTATTTGTTTAACTTTTGCCTGTACCTTTTGGCTCAAAGGAAGTTGAATAGAGTATAGAAGCGGCATTTCACTTTATCTTTCTTGATCTTCTGAGATAACTTGTTGTGTTGATTGGTAGTTACTACTTTAAGTATTTGTTGTTTAAGGCGTATAAGTAATTGTAAAGTTTTACGAAGATTTAGTAAAAATAATTACCGTAGTATCGCGGTTTTTTAGAATCAGATTTATATAATTATAACTTACATAATTCAGCTTTCCTTTAATTTAACTATAATCAAAAATAGAAGAAACAATATATTATACAAAATGTAAGGGGAACGCTCCCGAAGCCGAAATATGTATTATATGCTATAAAATTGTAAAGTAATTGCAGAGGTCTTTGTTTATTGGATCGTTTTAACGAATTAGTTATTTTTCAAGCACGCAATGTAACGCTTACAAATATTCGCCGGTGAAGCTCATTCACCCGTTCAACATAATATGGCCGCTAGTAGGTAAGTACGCTCGCACGCACACAATGACAAACTTATGTTTCATGCACGGTCAAAAAAAATAACTTTTTTAATTTAAGTAAAAGATTAAGTATCAATATCTGCTGTTGATGCAATAGGAATCTGGTTCGATGATTTCAATAAAAAAATAAAATAACCTAGGCAGGTACTTAATTGATAAATTATCATACCTTCTCATGGCCTTTTTGCGGTCTTAAAAGGTGTGCCTCGAACTGCGCTCCATTCATCCCGATGCAAACTCGAGCTCGTCGCAATAAAGTAGGTAACACATTGGCTCTTAGCTCCTCAAAGACACTTTCGATTCGAGTCTGCATCTCATTTGGAGTAGTGTGATAGTATCAGACTCGCGATTAAACACTCGTTCTTTGACGTGTTAAATCCGGAGAGCGCACCGGCCAGGCTCGCGGGCCGGGTACAATGTGGTGATGCACCGTCGGGTTGAAGCCATACTTGTTGAAACTCAGCCAGTGGTATTTCATCTAGCATATCAACTTAATGTTCGTTGATGTTTTGGTACCATTGCTCGACTCGGTAGAAACACCAGCCCAAACATTGATAGACCATCGAACCCGATAGCCGATCTCTTGGGTGACATGTGGGTTTACTTCTGACCATATGTGAGCGTTCCTTCTAATCCACATGCCATTTCTAGTAAATGTTGACTCGTCTGTTCAAATTATATGCTCAACGGAGCCAGGAGTGCGTCGTTGTTGATCAAGTAGCCACATAATATTTGCGTCGACAAGGCTGATCAGTGGGTCTCAAAGCTTGGACCTTATGAATTTTTTAGGGTCGCATTCTGTTCCGACATAAAACTTTAGGCAGTGTCCAGTGAGAGACAGTACCGCCACCCGGACGCCAATTTTTTTACCTTATATTAGTAAAAAAGAAATATAATCTACAACAAAAGGAATATGCCATTTGAATATTATGTTTTAAAATCAAATCAAATAGCGCGCGGGACTGAAGTGTGTAACTTCCTGTTACACACTTCCGTCCCATTTCACAAAATCACTCCCAGAAATTGCATGAAAGAGAGAGGAAAGATGTTACACATCAAAAATTATTAATAGTTCAGCATGTGCGCAACTCGGGAATACAAAAACTTTTCATTCAAATCAAATTAAAATCAGTTTGTACTTCTTAATCTATATCAATTTGGGACTTTTTGACCTACATCTTCACTATGCAATACTCGAAATAATATATCGACCTAGGTCGCCGCTAGGCAGCGCGGGCGCGAATAGCGCACTGGCTATATGCCTTCTAGTGACGTGCCTACTGCATCGCTCGGGTCAACGGCATGTTCAGCTGATTTATTGAATATTAATAACATTGCGTGTTTTTAGAAATATAATAAATAATTATTATTTTTGATGAGCTGTTGCAGTATTTTTTTTCTTAGTGGTATCATATCCATGATCGGTAACTACCCCCTGTCTTTTTTTCGGGAACGTTTTCCTTGCACATGGTATGTATTTTGTTTCTAAAGAAAATTTGACTAGAAAAAAATCCACGCAGACCAAGCAGCAGACGGTACTCGAACCTTCTCCCTGCCTGGTCCGCGTGGATTTTTTCTAGGTAAATTTTCTTTGGATTTAAATATGTAGCAATAAAATGCTTAGAAAAATTAAATTATATCTTATAATTTTTATGTAAAGATCAATAAGGCTCTGAAAAGATATCTAAAAAATACCTTTTAACTAATGTTAATTTATAACAATACACAGTGTATTATGAAACCCATTTTTCGGACGTCTGCTTTTTATTACAAAATCCTGCAGTTTCAATCATTTAAAACGCTAGAGTAGCACTCCAGAGTATCAAAAACGCTTAGTTTTGGAAAAAAAATATTTGAAAAACTTGTTTTTTTTTGCGGATATTTTTTTAGAAAAATTCCTTCTCCCTAAAGCAAACATATTTTAAATATATGTTATAAGTGATATGAAAGCACTTTACAAGCTTCATCTTTAAGAGCTATTAGCGACCTCGTAACTGCCATAGAAAAGGAGAAATTATTATTTTTCAGTTTTTCGTTTTTATTTTATTTTTCAGATAATCCACCGTATTTGGAAAAGTTATCCAGATGAAAATGAAGGTCCTAAATCCTTCTACCTACCACTAAAAAATCACATCCAAATTGCGTGGAGTTTAGAAGCTGTGTTCAATTAAATATTTCGATCAGGGTTGTTACTTTTTTGAATTTTCAATATCCGGAATTTTATCTAAGGTGGGTGGGTGGTTTAAGTCCCACGTGTGGTGTGTAATATAACAAGAAACTATATAATGTTGAAAATACATAATATCATTTAGTTTTAATAAATTATGCAATATGTGAAATGAAAATTCTATTAAGTACCTAAATTTATTTCAAACACAACTTATAAAAGGTACTTGGAGAAGAAAAAATGTACAAATTCCATTGAAAATCGATGGGAAACTACAAACCCTACATTGCGCGTGGTCCGACGTCCGTGCGATTAAAAACAAATTACACGGGCGAAGCCGCGGGTAACAGCTAGCATTTAAATTATATTACATACCCTATGATTATACCCCAATATTCCGGATATTTTTGAATTTGAGAATAGTGTCAACCCTAATGAAAAAAAACCCGGTTATTTACAAAACAGGCTGTATCATATAGACTCCACGCAATTTGGACGTGATTTGTTTGTGGTAGGTAGAAGGATTTGGGAACTTCATTTTTATTTGGATAACTTTTCCAAATACGGTGTATTATCTGAATAATAAAATAAAAACGAAAAACTGAAAAAAAGTTATTTCACCTGTTCTAAGGCAGCCACAAGGGCGCTAATAGCTCTTAAAGATGAAGCTTGTAAAATGCTTTCTAATAACATTTGTCATATATTCAAAATATATTTGCTTTAAGAGAAGGAGTTTTTCTAAAAAAATAACCGGGAAATAAAACCAAATTTTCAAAGATTTTTTTTTTCAAAACTAAGCGTTTTTGCCACTCTGGAGTGCTACTCTAGCATTTTAAATGATTGAAACTTCAGGATTTTTTAATAAAAAGCAGACGTCCGAAAAATGGGTTTCATAATACACTGTGCAATATGTAATTGTAATTATGCTTTTTTTTGAGTCATGTAAACAGTTCTATATATGTATTTTAATTAATATAGCAATAAATCATGTGTTCTCAGGCGACGTGCCATCTATAGTGCCACAAGAGGAAGTCGAAGATTTAGTGATACAACTGTGCGAGCTAGTCAACGAGAAAAATGACCTGTTCAGGAAACAAACTGAATTAATGTATATGTAAGTATACTATATTTAGTTGATGTTAATATTACTATTATCATATTTATACATGAATCTATTAAGTATTTTTATTTACATAATATTATAAATGCGAACATGTGTTAGTCTATTACCTCTTCACGCCTAAACCGTTGAACCGATTTGAAAAAATGGTATGTAGATTGTTTGAGTTCCAGGGAAGAACATAGAAAGGGTGATGGAAGTTTGTATGGAAACCAATTATTTCAAGCAGACGAAGTCGCGGGTACCCATTAGTTTTTTTATAAAGAAGACTGGGCGAAAGTGGTCCAAGAACCAATACCGATACCGTTGTGGTATTTATGTAGGGGAAACTCAACTACACTTAAATACAAAGAGGACCCAGCAGTTTCCTATATGATAATTATATAAATATATATATAAATAAGTATCACCAGGCTTGCGTCAATAAAAAGTGTTGGTTTGTCCAGAACCAGATCTTCTAACGCGTGACTCAAACAATGTAATAAACTAGTCATTCTATTCAGGTACTTTTTTACTCTTAATGCAATCCGGCTTATCGTCGATCAGCCATAATACAAAGTGCTGACATTTATGTATTTGTATAAAAACAAGTAGACTCACAATCGCACTCAAAAAGTGTCGGAAGCAAAATTATGCGTAATTTTCAAACATTCGTGTTTCGACCGCGCTTTGATTACAAGCAACGCCACGTAATGACAGTTTTCGGTAATAAAACTGTGCAAATGACACCATGGGGCCAATCGCCTAACGCAGTTGCTATGGCTATCGCTATTGTATACGTTTTCATTTTGTTATTTCTGACCTCTGAAGGTATTCTAATACCTCACGCTCATTTTCTTCAATATTGTTATTACCAATGCAGAAGAAAAAAAAACACTCGCGCTCTTGCATTTGAAAACCTCAGGCGGCCAGAAATAACGAAGTCGTAAACGATAGCGATAGCCTTAACATTACCTTTGGGCGAACAGCCCCCAGTAGGCCTATTCGCTAACTGCTTTTGACAGATGGAAGTAATAATCACCGAGCTATTTAGTGATCTACTTTATTATAACGCCACTAAGATATTTGTTCTGAAAAGCATCGATGGATAATATGCAATTTTCTCTTTAGCTAGGCACTGTAAATGTCAAAAAAGTAAGCGAATAGGCCGGTAGATCCCCATTTAAAAGCATAGATTGTCGTATTTCAGGTCCCTTTAAATAACGAAATGGGGAAGATGCAATATTTTTTTTTTGGTTTCATTTTAAAGAATTCCATGTAGAATAAACCACAGATATATTAAAAAATTAATACATTAAAATTTATTAAACTATCGGAAAAAATGCGATTTTAAATTGACAGTTTAAATTTTAGCGCGTAAACGGACCTATGGTTCCGATGACGTCACTCCTGTCTGTCATTGGTCGTACTTGTTCGTCGCTGGCACTTTTGTATATTTTTTCGAATTTCGAGATATTTTTTTGTAAAAATTTAAAAAGGACTATCCATCAACATCAGGTGATCATAACAATACCACTAATATTCCGAGAAAAAGCCGTGTTGACTCATGTTTTGTGCCAATGTGTCCATCTACTTCAACGAAGTTTCCAAATAATTTGTGTTCAATATACTGAATAAAAGACGTATACTTTTCAGTATTTTCTTGTATTTTGTTTAACATAGGTTTTAAAATTATAATAAATCAAATATCACTATGACAACGTATGTATCAAAAAATCTACCATAAAATAAAAAAGGAGGTTGTGGTTGAGGTTGTATTCAGGTTCGTAACATGCTCCCCTTTTTTTTTAAAGTGGGACAACCTTTTTTAGGGGTCGCCTCAAGATCCCACCTGCAGTGCGAATATCTACCACCCTGACTAATCCGTCGCGACCCGGATACGTGGCTTCTACCACTCCCCGAGGCCAGGTTCCTCTTGGAAGATCACCGTCCCCAATAAGAACCGGGTCCCCTGGCCTGATCGACGCCACAGTCCCTGGGACGCGGCGAGGAGCTAAGGTTGGTAGGTATTCGGAAACCCACCTACGCCAAAAATGGTCAGCAAGCCTCAAGGCTTTCCGCCAACCGCTTCTGCCATTAAGATCTGAATCCGTGAGTTCCGATCCGTGAGTTCCGAGTTCCGGCGCTCGATCTCTTAATGTTGCACTAAGTGCCGTTTTCACACTCCTGACCATTCTCTCCCACGCTCCACCCATAAACGGTGCCGAAGGAGGTATGAAACGCCACTCAATCTTCTGATCCGTTGTGACCGCACGATCATAGAGTTCCCGCAGCTGACGATTTGCACCCACAAATGCTGTCCCGTTGTCTGACCATATAATACTCGGCGATCCGCGACGTGCTATGAATCGGCGAATACACATAATTGCAGCATCAGCCGACAGACTGTAGACCACCTCCAAATGAATAGCCCTCGTGACCAAACATGTGAACAAGGCCACCCATCTCTTTTCTCGTCGTCGCCCAATCGCAACTTGCATTGGACCAAAATAATCTATGCCCACAACGGAAAAAGGACGCTTGTGATGGGCGAGACGGTCTTCAGGTAAGTCACCCATAGGAGGTATTAAAAAAGGCGCTCGCAGCAATTTGCATAGTTGGCAGTTTCGGACGACAAATTTTATAGCATTTCTCACACCAAGGATCCAGTATTGTTGGCGCATCTCATTTAGTATAGTTTCTGTGTTGGCATGAGCAAACTTGCTATGAAAGTGACGTATCAATAGGCGCACAGCTGGTTCCTTTCCACACAAAATTATCGGCCGTGTTGCTTCCCTAGACACTCCAGGCGCAGCTGAAATTCGGCCCCGTAGAAATATCAGCCCATCTTCATTTAGTGCGGGAGACAAGGTAGCCAGACGGCTCTTGGTGGGTAACTGCTGACCGCGGCTCAGACTCACAAGCTCCTTCTGGAAGGCGTTTATTTGACACTGACGCAAGACGTGCCTTTCTGCGCGGCGAATGGCTTCCACATTCAATGACCTGATCTCTGTGGCAGAAGCAGTGACGGCAGCGACAATCTCACGAGGAAAGAAATTTGAAACAATATCGTGCAACATAGGATTTTGAAAATTAGGAGGCCTACTTTTGAAAATAAGAGCAATAAACTGGTGCAATCTAGCAGTGGCTCTAACTAATCTCTGCCAAGAGCTAAAATGAGTCGCATCTACGACTGCCGGCAAGTACAGATGAACCATATCATTATAAAGAATGGCTTCAGACAGCGGATGAGATGGACTTAAATGAGGTTTTAATGCGTTAACACGATTAGCTTTAAAGCTAGGTTTTAGTTCATCTCCTCCTAGCTATGATGTAGGAATTATTAACGATTCAATCGGCCAATCGCTAGGAGGAGATAATAAAAAGGCTGGACCAACAATCCAGCGTGACTCGACAGATAGGGAGCTACACTTCCCCCTTGTGGCATCATCAGCGACGTTAAAGTCACTGGGGACCCAACGCCATTCACGTATGGCGCTTGTTTCCAAGATTTCACCGACGCGATGGGCGACAAAGGGCTTAAACTTCCTGGCATCATTACGCAGCCACCCCAAAACGTTTATCGAGTCAGACCAGAAAAAACGACGAGCTGGTTTATAACGATGGCTACTACAAATGGTCGCACCGAGACGAACGGCTAATAAGGCAGCTTGTAGTTCCAACCGCGGAATGGAGACGGGTTTGAGTGGAGATACACGTGCTTTGAGGAGCTCGATGGCGCAGGTGGTTAGCGCGTTCGGCTGCGATCGTTGAAGTTAAGCAACTTTCGCAGTGGTCGGTCATTGGATGGGTGACCAAAAATTTAATAACATGAGCTCCTCCGTGCTTCGGAAGGCACGTTAAGCCGTTGGTCCCGGCTGCATCTGCAGTCGTTAGCACCCACCAATCCGCACTGGGCCCGCGTGGTGGGTCATGGCCCAATCTCCCTATTCCATCCATAGGGAAGGCCTGTGCCCCAGCAGTGGGGTCATTAATAGGCTGATGATGACACGTGCTTTGCTCATAATTAAGGCGAGCCGTACCTCACCAGTCTCAAAGGTAAAACGCCAGCAGGCAACTGCAACATGTGCTAATTCGCTTGCATCGCAAAACACGTGCAGCTCTAACTCAACAACCTTATTTTCACAAAGATTATAGCATCGCGAAATCTCCACTTTCGATAATGACGCTAAACTATCGAACCACTCGCTCCACACACGTTGGTCCGCCTGGGATAACTCTTCGTCCCAGTGCAAACTCTTACGCCACAAACTTTGAAATAAAATGCGTCCTCTAACTACAATGGGCGCAAGAAGACCAAGTGGATCGAAAATACGCATGACCTGCGCTAAAACAGTACGCTTCGTGAAATGATCAGGCGACTGATTATACAACTTAGAACTAAAACTTATTACATCCCGACTGGGGAACCAAATTAAACCTAATGTACGTATAAAAGCTGATGACCCTAAATCTACACTACGATCTACATTAGTAACAAGAGAAGACACTAACCCGTTTGGCAGTAAACATAAGGACTGTGGGTCATTAGATACCCAATCGCGCATTTTAAACCCACCACGGCTGTGAACCGTCGTAATATCAGCCGCCAAACGAGCCGCGTGTGCAGTATCGTTAATACTTCCGATGTAGTCGTCCATATACGTGTCGCTTTCTATTGCGCTCACAGCCTCTGGAAACTCTTTTCGAAATTCTGATGCGTTCCGATTAGTAATAAATATTGCAGTAGAAGGGCTAGAGCACGCGCCAAACATCATCGATGACATACGATATATCTTAACGGGCTCTGCCGTACTGTCGCGCCAAAGAAAACGTTGCGCGTCACGGTCACGCTTCTGAATTTTGACCTGAGGAAACATTTCCTGAATATCCGCAGTCAATGCTATTTTCCCCTCTCTGAACCGCATCAAAATTCCGAGGAGAGGGCGAAGTAAGTCAGGGCCGGTTAACAAAAGGGAGTTCAGTGACACGCCATGGGACTTAGCCGCGGCGTCGTGTACTACACGGAGTTTGGCCGGTTTGTTGGGATTTATAACACCAAAGTGTGGCAAGTACCAACAAATCGGCCCTGGTGTCTGTCCTGTGCAGTCTTCGGCATAACCCTTGCTTAAAGTATCCTGAATATTTTTCCGATAACGTTCAGCATAAAGTGGTTCCTTGAGCATTTTCCTTTCGAGGCTATGAAACCTGGATAATGCTAAAGGATAGCTGTCAGGCACGCACGGATTATCCTCCTTCCACAACAGTCCAACCTCGAAACGCCCAGAAGGCAACCTACGAGCTGTGCGCTCTAAAATTTGGAGAGCGCGTTGGTCGTCATTACTACGTAGTTCATGCTTTGTAATACCTAAGGCGTCTAATTGGTACTGCTCCTTAATGAGGCTCTCTAGCTCATGTTTAGGATCAGAAAACTCGAAAGAACTTACATGACAAGCAGTTGCATAATCTATAGGTTTAGTTTTGCTACTTGAGAAACCAAACAGAACCCAACCTAAAACCGTCCTAATAGCCACAGGTTGCGACTTTGATCCCTTCCTGGTCTCAAGGGGCACAGTAAGGTGCCAATTGTCGATACCTATTATTAACATAGGCGTAGCAACATCGTAACATAGCTCTTCGGACAAATCACTTAAATATAAATATTCACGTAAACTATCACGGGTAGCGATTTGAGATACTAAACCTAAGTTCCTAATAGAACGCGCCTTAGACATTACAAAGGTGTCAGATGAATACTTACCTCTAATCTTAAAATCTACATAATTAACACTACTATTACGGGACAAACCGCCAACGCAATTTAAACGTAAATGTCCCTCCGGGCCCTTTGCACCTATTCGGGCAGCAACGTCCGCATCGATGAAAGTTCCAGTAGAACCATCATCCAACAAAGCGTAAGTATCGACGCTCCCGGTAGGCCCACAGACTGTTACGGGTAGCACCTTTAGTAAGGGCCGGAGAGATGAGACTGGTGTTGAAGTAGTCCCAACAATAGCCTGATCCGCAATATCTAAATTTTCCTTCTGCGGAGACTGAACCGACGTAGAAGCTACAGGGTAATCTGAACCTTGCATATTATTGTCAACACTAACATTGACGTTATAGTTGGTCACATCATTCTTATGGAGTAATGTGTGGTGACGACGGTTCTTACAGGATGCCACAGTGCAAGTCGTCTTACAAATTGCATATCTATGGCCACCCTTAACTAAGCATTTTCTGCAAACTTTGTTGTCCGTGACCCATTTTTCGCGACTGTCAACAGACAACGAAAGGAAACGCGCACACGCCGAAACCTCGTGACTTCGCGACCCACAAAAGGCGCATGAATATGGAGACTTCGGGCCGTCTATAAAAGAAATTTCTCCGGAACCTGTGCCCTTTTTAAACTCTAGATAGAGACTTTTCCTGACGCCCCTCAAATTCATTTAAAATACCGAACTTAATATGTATGTGAGCCTCATGCACTAGGAAGTCTGATAGAAGTTCTAACTTAAAATTACGAGAACGTTGACGAGAAAATGCAAACTCTACCCATTTTTCCCGAAGGAGGGGAGAAAGCTTACCAAGAATGGTATTCACGAGTTCTGGACTAGCTAAATATTCGAAATGATTTAATAATTTAATGGTTGTAACACAATTACGGACTTTACAAGCAACATAGTTTAGGTCTCTACCGGAATCGAAATTACCAATCATTGGCAAAGCTTTCACCTCAGACAAGGCATTTAAAACAACAATTTCCGGATTACCAAATTGCTGTTCCAAAGCTGTCATTACCTCTTGCGGGTCGTCACACGCGATCAAGAGTGATGCTACAGCTTCACGTGCTGCTCCCCGTAGAGCCGTGGACATTCGGACTAGGTTGTCCGCATCCTCAAAATGAGCCATAGTCCGTTCATAACTTTTGCGGAAGCAAAGCCAGTCTGTGGGCGAGCCGGAAAAAATAGGAAGATCACTTACCCTCCGTCCAGTCCGCGCAAGGCTCTTGATGGCTTCCGTGAATTGTGTAATATTTTCATTAGTTTTATTATTGTTACTAATACAATTATTATCATTCTGACTACTTGAGTGTGTGCCTACGCGTGCATGTGCAGTGGTCGTGACGTCCGCATACGCGCTCCCAGCCTTTGGGGCGTTCCGCTGATCTGGCAGCGTCGCCGGCGGAGAGCATGTGACCTCGGCAAGGTATGGAAACTGTCCTCCTTTGGCCGAGGCACGGTCGTTAGGTGAGACCTGAAATTGAGTACGGCCTTTATTATTAATATTGGAATGAAACTTTACCCAATTTTCAACATGTTGCGCTGAAGTTCGACTGGCGGTGCGACTGGTATGGCTAGCGCGGCTGGAGCGCTCTTCTAGAGCAGCAATCTGGGCTCGTAATTCCGCGTCTGCAACTGCACGCTCCGCAGCCGCCGCGCGCTCACGATTCTCGCGCTCAACAGCCGCAGCGCGCTCGCGTTCCTCACGCTCAACAGCCGCAGCGCGCTCGCGTTCCTCACGCTCAGCTTGAATCTGATTCAATTCCATTTCTGCCATACGCCGAGCATGTTGCGCTTCCAACACAGCACGCTGAGCAACGACCGATGAATTTGACTTGGACGAAGCTGCGCTTGTACTACTATCCATATTTTTTGCCTGCGCCCTAGTCTTTACCATTACTAATAAAAATAATAAAATGAAATGAAACTAAATTAATGTACGTGTGCACTTTTTAAAATTAATTCACTTCTGACACCACTTTGTTCAATATACTGAATAAAAGACGTATACTTTTCAGTATTTTCTTGTATTTTGTTTAACATAGGTTTTAAAATTATAATAAATCAAATATCACTATGACAACGTATGTATCAAAAAATCTACCATAAAGTAAAAAAAAGAGGTTATGGTTGAGGTTGTATTCAGGTTCGTAACAATTTGTTTTTGACTTTTGATAGAATTAATTTAATTGACCCAAAACTGAGAAAAGGTGGTTTCAAGCTGCGAAGAGAAATGACAATTATTCTCCAAAGACCATTATTCGATGCTGTGAAGATCACTTTGACGTAAGTCGGCGAATATACTTGTTATATGCTTAATTAATCCGCTGTAAAAACGCGTTAGTAACCTACCTAATACTGACAAAACCTGTCTATAACTTTTTTTTAATTTTACAGTTGCAGAATGACGTCGAAAATTGGATAAAGTTTAAAATGTGTGACACACTCTTCACATTGGCAGGACTGAACCAAGCTTTGCGCTTCATTTAAAATAACTGTAACACGATAACCTTCTATAAGTACTATGCTCCGGAGTAACTCGCCTTTTTACTGTACATAATTCTCCATCTCTTTTAATTTGGACATAGCAGATTGCGTTATCGCCGTAAGATTCGCTTGTTGAGCTGAAATAACTGCTATATGTAGAAGCCGCTGAATAAAATACAAAGTTTAACAACTATGATTTATACATACCGTAGTAATTTAGTCCGTTTCATTTCTACACTTGAAAACTCTGCACTTTGGACAAAAAATGTTACAACCATGCCCACACTAACTCTTGATAAATTCCTAGAGTCTGCTTTGTTAAACCTAACTTCCATTTTTATTAAAAAACGCAATTTATATTCCCATAAACTAATATTCACTTTTATACACTATAACAGGAGTGACGTCACTAAACGCTGATTGGTGTTTTAAAATATGTTTTTTTCAAGTCATTTTTAATTAGTAATTATTGTTAAAAAACAACATTATGTAAAATAAAAACGTTGCAGTGGCCTTTCTTTTATATTTTTTTAACATTTTAATCATCAAATTTTCATATATATTATATTTGACTGACCCAGCGAATTTCGTATCGTCATAAAAATATGGTAGAAGGGAGAAAATTTCGGGTTGTATGTATTTAGTAATGATAACAGATTTTGTTAAAAGAAAATGGGGTGGACCACCCTTACCACTTAAGGGTAAGAAATCGTTGGTACTTTTAACACAGAGCCATCCATTGAAGACTTACTCAATCCAGTCAACAGATACCGCCTTCTGTTAGAATCGTTTCGAGCTTATACTAGAAAATTGTGGCTGTCAAATAATAAACAAATAATTTGCAATAAAAGAATATGATGACTATAAATTGAGATGTAAGCTATCCTATCTTTTAAGTTGGATCAAACTGCACACGGTGTGCAAATTTGATTAAAATCGGTTAAGTAGTTTAGGAGTCCATCCCGGACAAACAACAGACGCGTAAGTTATATATATTATAAAATTATACCAATTGGAAATACACTTTTGACAGACGTCGGCAGCAGCGATTGGAACAAGAGCAAGCCGACATCGAACATGAAATCAGGGTACTACAGTCGAGACCCGCGGTCAACCGTATTGACGCTGATAAGGTTAGTAATAGGATATTAAGGCAGTTTATTTGTTATGAGTATCATCCCTACTTCGGCATAATTTAATGTTTCCCCTACCCACTAAATTTAGCAACGTAGTATTTTGTTGAGTTTCAACTTCCTCTATAACTGCTCTTATTGTCCTCTATAACCGCTCTTATTGTCTAAAATCAAAAAAAGAGATTTCTTGAATCTGTTTAAATTCAACACGATACTAAGTACTATATTATGACAATACGACCATCCACATATGGCCCTGAATAACGAATAATCCACAGATATAATGACCCAAATATTTAATTCTTTCTCGCTGTGTATTATTAAGATGTCGTTGCAAAATAAGATTGTTGGGCCTTAAGATAGGTCTTAAAATTCAGTTTCAAAAACAGGCTCGCGAAGAGCATCTCGTGTCCCGATTGGTGGAGATAGTGCGCATGCGCGACGAACTAGTGCAACAAATCGACGCCGAGCGACGACGCGAGCGACAAGAGGACCTCGCCATAGCCGCCTCCATCGCCACCAAAAGAGGTAAATTAATAAAATAAATTCATTTAACAGCGACGAAATAGTGCAAAAAATCGACACGAGATAAAGGAGGACCTCGCCATAGCCGCATCCATCGCCACCAAAAGAGGTAAATTAATAAAATTAATTCATTTAACAGCTACGAAACAGTGCAACAAATCGATGCGAGATACAAGAGGACCTCGCCATAGCCGCATCCACCAAAAGAGGTATAATAATGAACTATTATTAATTTAACAGCGATTTAACACTATAAAACATTGGTGGAGATAGTGTGCATGCATAACTTAGGTACCAATGTTCGTATTCATCGCACAAATATTTTCCCCACCGCGATTCGAACCCGGGACCTCTAAGTAGGTGGCACCTTGAAAACCGGCGTACATACCACTCGAGCCACGGAAGTCGTCTATATTATCATTTCATTTATTTTATTTTTCAGCACAAAGAAACAGTGAATCGAACAGTTCTTCAATGAAATCTGTGGAAGTAGTAACAACACCTAAAAAAAGTAAGGTGAAAGATAAGGTAAAGAAGCAATTCAAAAAAGCCAAACACACATTAATGTCTAAGAAGAAGGAAGATGGCGTTGACCGGAAAGAGGAAAAATCAGAAAAAGGGAGTAGTAAATCAAAATGAGTTCAATGTTCAATTGTTGTTGTAAAATGCCAAAAATGAATGAAATGGACATGTTATAACTTGTATTATTGATTTACGGCCGCACCCACAGACGTCAGTTAATTTTTAGGTTTGCTCAAACGTTTGTCGTCTTTTTTTGCGATATCAATAGAAAAAAACACTTTGACAAGCATTAACTTTAACTAACGTCTTTGAGGGCGGCACTTAGGAATTGATTTAAAAAATTCGCAACTAAGTTGGCTTGAAAGTACTTAAGAAGACTGGAACATTCCACTACAATTTTTTTAATATTAAAGAATACGTGTTGCGACTCTAAAGAGGGATATTTTTGTAATATAGCATAGAAGTTAAATTTATTACGATATATGAATTGTTACTAATATTTAAATGTTTTTTACTAATTTTAATATTTACATCGCTTTCGCCACGAAGACCTTTTTCTGTCTTATTATGGCTATCGGGAGATTTCTCTTTTTTCACAATAAAAATTATTTATTTATAATAATTTTCAATAAAATAAATTGACATGTATAAGAAACCGGGCCTACAATACAAAAACAATGTGAGATAAAACTATGAAAATTAATTTGTCAACATATTTAAGTCTATTATGTAGTTATATATTGATAACGCTGAAAGTATATTTTTAGAAAATACACCAATAAACTAAATAAACACGAAATTGGAAAATACGCCTAGCTTAGATATTTGCAATAGATAAATACACGTACAGGCAGTCCTCGCACTTACGGCATGTTAGGTCGCGACGTAAATCGTAACTACGTAAGTCGAGACACTCCCACGGACATAGACCTCGCGGCAAGTGAATTCTCCTATGCCGGAAATCGAAACAATTGTATGCCTGAGTGTGAGTGTCAAAACATTGTTTGACGTAACTTGAAACGACGTAAGTCGAGGACTGCCTGTATTGTAATGGAATGAAACAGCTAACAGATCTAACAGAGTAATCTCTCGATTGTCGATCCCAGAATTTTACTATACCTATGCTTTTTCACTATTAACGTCACTACTCGCAATTCTTTATAATATTGACCATTTAAAGGACTGAATACATTTTTAATTAGATAAAAAATGTAAATAAAATAATATCAAATTGTCGGAAATATAAAAAAAACTTATGCATGAAATTTTCTAATTATTATACTACTTCAGTAAGTTCCAAAACTAGGAAAATGTTTTAAATCTATCTTAAATTAATCACTAACCCAAAAGTAATCATGAAAAAATATTTATCGACAATTGTGACTAGGTCCCTCGACTTGAGATTTTGTGATAAACTAATGCTCACATGTAGCAATTTTCCCAACGTTGATTAAACTTAAACTGGATTTAGCACATACAAGAATGTTAAATTTGTTTAATCTGTATTTTGACATTTTGGTATGAGCTGAATCTAGTTTTAGTTAAATTGCGATTTAGCTTATTTACTGCAAGTAGAAAAAAAAACGAATAATTTGTCACTTATTAAAAAAGTGACGCCTAAGGTATTATTAGTATAAAACCATCTTCGTCTCATTCTTTAGCCTAAAATTAACTATAATGAAATTATCTTTTACCATGTGCCAGATTAAGAAATTAGGAGAGATTAAAAATGCTATAATTGTCATTGATTTGTGCCACACGATAAAAAAGAATCTCTTTTTTACTACAGTCATAATAACATATGTATTTCAAAGTATGCACAATATTGCACAGTGGCCCAAAAAGAGGATTTCTCAATATTCGTGAAATATGACCGCACCAACATTACGTTTACAAAATATAATAAGTGCATATAGGTTAACCATTGTTTTGGGCCACAATAATATAATATTTACAATGTTTATTTTCAAATATTGTTAACGTTAGTTATTTCAAAATATACTTTTATCAGTAGTTTTAATTTGAAATTATTTAATTTTTCCCTATATTTAGGAGTTTATGGCGCAAATTTGAATTGTGAATCATATTTATGTTGATTTAATTCTGACCCTCTTGATGAAAATATAGACTTTGTTCTAGTATTGATTTTGTAAATGCTCTAACAACTATTTATTCTTTGGTTTGTCTGTAATTTATGTACTATGTAGTTGTGAAGAACGTTAGGTGCCGCATTATGTGCAGGTAATCAGGCATTTAGGCATACCTTACATCTTAAGCATAACTGTTTTGTGTCAATATGAATCCGTGTGACGTCACCTGCCTGTAAGACGCCTGTATTTGCTAGGAAAACTTTTCCGCGACATGTTTGAAAACAGAATTTTTATATTCGTTTTTTTACTGGATATACACAACAGTATTATAAATTTCCACTTTTTATAGTGACTAATAACCTTGGAGCAACGTGCCCGACGCGGCCAGGAGGGGAATAGCTATAATGACACAATATACTTTCGCCAAAACGAAATTATAGTTACGACACACACAATATAAAAAATTACAGCCCTAGATCGCGCATAGACGAAACTTAAGATTTTTTCTTGACAGATCTGAAATTTGTACAGGCGAGTCGATTGTTTTGTCAACCAAGTCCGACGACGATTGAATTTTAACAAAATTATATAATTTTTTTGGTTTAAAAGTGGTTAAATAGAAATAATATGTTAATGTAGATATGTGAAATTTAACACATTCCTTTTGTAAGTTCAATATTCCAGATATGTTTTACAGCTAATTACAAAACATTTTGGCATTTTTGATCTCTAACATACACTCGTGCGACGTAACTCAGTCTAGTGAAATATCCGACGCGCAACTAGTTTCGTTTTTGAGCTGGCCCAACAGCAGAGGAAAATTGACAGAGGGGAACGCTGTGAATGCCTACTCCCCTCCTAGCCGCGTCGGCAGTGTTGCTCTATGCTATTAACTAATTAATAACGTGTGAATGTTTTCAAAACTTGTCAAAATAGCCTAAGTTTTAACAATTAAAGTAATACCTCCTTATACATTTTGAACAATAATATTTAACTTCTGAATTATATAATTTACCAAAACTCAGGTTTTTATTGTTATTATATATGCACAGGGCAACGAATAAGTAAAATACATCAAAATATTAATTATAATTATATAGTTTTCGAAACACAGAAATTCAGAACAAATGTTAGGATTGTGGTTGACGATTTAGTGTTTGAACAAGTGAATGATATTGTCATGGACGTATAAAAAAAGGCGGACAGAGTCCCGGTAAACAACAAAGTGTGTCGCTCAGAGTCGGCCAGGTCGCTATATGTACAAGCCGGCACACACACATTCACACCATAGTCAGCCATTACGCGTGCAAACGTCAAAGCAGCCGATACGTTAAGTGGAGATAAAAATAAGTTAAAACAAGATGTCTTGCGTGGTAAAATGGTGTAAAAACCGTAGTGACCGAAAGAAAAAAAATCCAGGAATCACGTTTCATAGGTAAATGAACAATATAATCACTTTTTTTCTAGTTTTTAGAAATCGAAATCAATTTTCATTCTAAGCACAAAATAATTAATCTAAAGTCCAGTGTTGTCAATGTTCACGTAACCATATTACCTAAAATATGGGAAATTGGGGTGACATTAGCTTCAATATATTATTTGTTATTCTTTTTTATCAGATTCCCTAAAGAAAATGTAGAATGGAGAAATGACTGGATCCAAGTTATTAGGAATTGTAACGGAGATGATGAATGTATTCCAAATAAATATAGTGTCATTTGCAGTATCCATTTTGAAGCTGGAGACTTATATACTACTAAAAGAGGACTCCGGCGTGTTGTTACGCATGCAGTACCTCAAAAGGTAAATTAAAAAAATTTAACCGACTTCAAAAAGAAAGAGGTTCTATACGTCATATTTGTTATTTTTTTTTTCAATTGTTGTTCGTGCATATCTCCGAGATTCGTGGCCCGATTTTGATGATTATTTTTTTGTTTGAATCAGTTTATTAGCGAGATGGCTGTATTAATTAAGTGCAGAGCTGATGAGTATTTTCGGAGGGAAACAATGGAACTCCTCAATTACAAACAGTACTCAATGCATGTTTTGTTAATTTAAGAAATATAAAAAAGAATGCAGGCCTGGCCAGGCATATTTAGGTGATTTACTCTGGCTTATGAAAAGTGGAAAATATAAACTTTTTCATACAAAAATAAAAACAGACTTCATGTTAGTTTTCCAATTACAGAGCATAATGCGACTCAGTGGCTACCAATGCCGAATTATGCTGATGATTAATTGGAACGTGAATTAGTTTTCAAATGCACCAGCAAAGTGCGCTAAGTTCAGTGTTGAAAAAAAAGTGGAATATAAAAAAAGTCAATATTTGTTATATATAATAGTTTGAATTAACTTTGATTATTTAAAAAAACCTACAATGAAACAAAAGTTTTAAAATATTTTCAACGATAAATAATATTACTAACGATAATATTTAAACAAAACATTTCGATCAATGCCAACTTAAAAACAGTGCGTATGAACACAATTTTCGCCTTTCCAGTATCGATCGAAACGGTGCAGTGTGTTAAATTTTTGCCACGGGACCAACGTTCGACGCATCACCGCGGTCGTCGGTTCAAATCCCGCACTCGTGTTTTATTTTTTATTATATTTTTTTTCCATTTTTTATATATTTGTTTTAGACCCCAGCACCTGTTCTTATTTTTATTTGTCTCCCTTTTATTTAGACTTTATAATTATAATTTTTGGACTAAAGGTGGTAAACTGTGGAGCATGTGGAAGTTTTTTGGCGCCGGGCAATGCTGTTGTTTGCTGTGCTTGCCCAATAAAATATCATAAGGCCTGCCTCGCCATCTATTAATATCAGAGAAAAAACTTGAATTAATATCAAAGAAAAAAAATACTGCATAAATAAATAGTATTATTGCATAAGTTGACAAATAATGCTATGCAATAGCTTTACCGCGGCAGTCCCCGAGTGCAACACGATTTTTTTTTAAGTACACGATTTGCATACCTATTTTCTAAATACAGTGGAGCCCCGGTAATCCGGCCCCTGGCTAATGCGGCACCCCCTATAATCCGACATCGTCTATTACATACAAGTATTCGCTAATTCACGATTGAACAAGTTACAACTTGTACGCACCATCACAATTGTGCTCGACGCGTAGGGTATTGTTTTTTATATTTTTTTGTAAATTCTATAGCATTTGACGTTACTTTTATAATAAAACATAATCTTTCTATTGTGTTGTTTAATTTACTCAATTTGACATACATAACAAAGTATGTTTTGTAATCTTATCATTGGATCTGTAATTTGTCGGATTACAAGGTACTCTTTTGTAAAAAAAATCGGACTATAGGGGGTCTTAGGCAGTACTCTATAATCCGACAAATTCGATAGTTCGACACTGCCCTGCAAAATGTTTGTCGGACTACCGGGGATCCACTGCATTCTTTTAAGACCCTTTACTTTGATACCTCGCTTGACGGGTTATAAGCATTTTTTTTCTAAAGGTTTCATTTTGGCGCCTTATTATTGGGCATACATACATGCATACACGCTCGAAAAACATTATCCACCGCAGTCGGGTAAAATTTTGAACAATTAAAATATTTTGATCTTTTTACTGTGTTTTATTGGTAAAAAATTGGCTAACCTAGCAACCCTGCATTCACTCACTCATAGATAACCGCCGCCATTACGGTGCCTCACTTTTGTCTTAGCCGAAATTCTGTCCGCCTTTTTTTATACGTCCTTGGATATTGTATATATTGAATGTGTACTAATCTAGGATGGAAGGTTCATTAATAACGAGAGAGACTGAGAGAAGAGTGGATGCAGGAAATAGAGTGAATGGAGCACGAGGAATACTTCTTGGCAGCGAAAATCTAAGACAGATGGAACAGGCCGCTATACACAACACGGTGCTTGTCCGAAGTCCCAACGCTAATTTACGGAATCTTATGTTAAGTATGTCAGAAAGAGCTTCAAAGTAAAATAAACGCAGTTGAGATGCGAGCGTAACGTGGAGGTAAAGAAGAGTCTGTTTAAAAGACAGTATCGGTGTTAAAATTAATAATGGCTGCTCCGTTGAATCGGAAAAATTCCTTGCATTGAATAAAAATGTTTAATGACAGAATGATGAAACTGATATAGGACGCGATAGTGGAAGGATATAGAAGCCAGGGAATACCAAGCAAGACTCACCTGTCACGATCATTTTGGAGGGAAGTGACGTAAGAATCCGCAAAAACCGGCGGGCGTGTCTAAACGATTCTTACAAGGGTTGCCAGATGAGTCGCGGTATGCTAGGTCGCAAAAAATACGGTTTTTTATACTAATATTTTTATTTATTAATCAACATCACATAAAGTGTGAACCCGCAGACGCAGATACAGACAGCGAACGAGGAGCGCGCGCGAGTTTAGCGTTTGAGAGATTTCATATGCCTACTTTTGTAGGCGCTTGTGACCAGTAGTACAGACTTTCCTCAAAATACCTAAATTGTTTTGTCCGGTTTCTGGTATGACCATTTATTTTTTACCGGACAAGCCTCGAAAATACCGGACTGTACGCTTAATACCGGAAATCTGGCAACCCTAATTCTTACCCATAGCACAACCGCGTGACACTGCTAGTAGTACTTGGGGCTTTTCCCTTCGGCACTACCAGATGTGCTGTACTTGCATCGGCAGTACAAATACTACTACCAGCGGGTCAATTATGCTTTAGTGATATAATCCTAATGTGATGTCAATATGATGTTGATGCCAAGTTGACAATGTTTTAAAATGGTATTATGGAACATTCCTATGTCACATCAAGATCATATCAATATAATCATAGATTAAAACAAAAAGGGTAGATACGGTACGCTCATACTTGCATCAAACAAAAACTGATCCCACGGCAGCGCGAACGGGACGGGGAGATCCGCGTCACTGCATTACCGACCCGAACGAAACAGCACGTTAAGTTTCAACGGCAGCGCAAACGAGACGGCGAGATTCGCGTCACTGCATTACCGACCAATCAGGCGACTAGTACTCGACGTCACTACCGAATAAGATTAAAAAAAAACAACATTTTTTATGAAAAAATATATTTTATAGTACTTACGAATGAAAAGTGATGCCGTGGGTTTTATTTTTAGTTCTTGAGCAATTTGAGCACTTTTTAAAAACACACAGTCATTGTTTTATCATATAAACACAAATTATTAGCAATATTTATTTTTGGCGTTCACATGTACGTCGTTTGCATGTCAAGTTGTGACTAAAGCGATTAGGGTCGTGGACCACAATTGGTGCGGATCACTTTTGTGAGGCTAGTGCCGTATCTACCCTTTTTGTTTTAATCTTAGAATTTAATAGCCTGTATCACATTTTTGACGTTTATGCGATACTGTTTTAAGTCAAAAAGTTGAACGTAATACGCATCTAAGTTGATATCATTTTAAAGAGTTGATCATAATACGCATAAGTTGATGTCATTTTGACATCGCATTTTTCGGAGAGCATAATATACGTAATGTGAAATTGATATCAAAACAACATCACAATTAGCGAGCATAATTGACCTGCAGTTGTGCTTTAAGAACAGTTATAATCCCAGTGAAACGACCAAATTAATAACAAACCTCATTGGTGATACATAAAAATTGTTGTAAGGACATCATTCCAACCGAAATTTCGTGTATTTCCTAATGGAGGTCAACACTATCCGATACACTGTACCTAACGTAAGTTGGATAAAGTCTGGAATAGAAGTTTGTGTCACAGGCTGGGCTGTGTGGGTGTGCTTCTATCTGGGAAGATAAATCTGTCGCCGTCTTTGTAGCTTTGTAGAAAGAGCCCCATCCATACTGGATGGCGCCGCCCAATGGGACCACTTACTACGGGACTACACGTGTCTTAATATTTTTGTAGCGGAGACTGAAATTGATCGTTTATTAAAGTGCAACCAAGACGGGCTCGACAAAACTTTGCAGCATTTTCTCACAGCCGAAGTCTTGATACTTAATGACTTCAAGCCCATAATCCAGAGGTTAAGTTCTTGTTAGTTGTTTCACTGGGATTATAAATGTCCCTATGGCACAACTGGTAGTGCTGAAGCAAGTAACTGTTCCCCAAGGTACTACTAGTAGTATCACGCGATTGTGATACGGTTAAGAAACGGTTTAAAAAAGATAAATGCAAAGGAAGAATAGATGCGTATGTGTGTGCCTGTGTATGCATGTGGACCGTTTATGGCTCTCTGTTTTCTTTGCACAACTCGGAGCGTGAACATAATATAAATAATAATATTTATTATTACCTGCATATCAAAAAAGTAAGTTATAACACAAAGAATATTATTTATAATTGCCTTTAAGGACACTTAACACCAATGAGCACAGCTTTGTATAATAATTTATGTAGAAATTTATTAAAAACAACTATTTTTATTACCTAACTTTTTTATTTATACTAATTTACTTATTAAGCCAGCCACTTCTGATTTACCCATTTATTTCAATATTTTAATTGACTGCTATACAGCTGGCCGCTATAAAGTGTCACTTCTCCGACCATGAAATGATATGAATCGCAGAAAGCGAAAATTAAACAAGATTCTGGATCCGATTCCCTGGTCAGTTTTATTCATCGGCCACAACTATCTAGTAGTTACTTGCATTCTGTGAAAAGGAGATTGCTCAAATTGGCCTAAATGCACAAAAAATATTGACATACACGGTAATTCTTGGCGTAATTTATAATTTAATTTACAGTCATTAGATTTCAACGGACACCTTTGTATAATATATTTACTTTAAATAGGACATTTAATTTTACCGGTTTCGAGAACATACGAATCATTTCTAATGGCTATGGGTATAGTAACATTGTTTATATAACATAAAAACAAATCTTTTTTGTAAAGATTACTAGAATACTGGTGGTAACGTGATAGATGCAGTACCCTTAGCACGAATCAATATCGAATTCGTAACGTTTGCGAGTACGAAATGTCATTGTCAAATATGTACTGATTATTAGTTCTCGTTACGGACTTTGTGGCGCTGCTGTTCAAGTTTCCATTCAAAATTTGACTATGACATTTCGGAGTCGCAAACTATTCGAATTCGATATTGGTTCGTGCTAAGGGTACTGAACTAAGAAGTATAGAAAATGATCACAATCGAAAGTGAACTTAAAAAGATCGAAAACTAGAAGAAGGCACAACTGGACCCGGTAGAGTAACCAGACCCGTCTTTCCCAGTGGGCACTTTGGGCAAGTGCCCAGGGCCCCGCGATCGATAGGGGGCCCCCTCAAATCAAATACAAAGTCCCTAGTACCTGTTAATTCACCAAAGGGAAGTCATAGGGGCCCCATTATCCTAATATGCCCAGGGCCTCCAATAGGTCAAAGACGGCACTGAGGGTAACACTGCAGTCAGGTTTTAGTTATTTTTTATAGTTTATCAGGCAGGGCAATATCTTTTTCGTCCGGTAGTACCTATATTATGTATACCTATAGGCGTAGCTGGGGAGTATTTCAGGGTGTCGTTACCAGTCGTCGAGTTGAACTAACATTCGTTCTAAAATTAGTAGTCACTCAAATTTTGGGGTGGGCAAAGGTTTATAGGGTAGGCGATGCAGTGATCGCAGTCACCTGGTCAAATTAATTAGCTAATTGGATTGGCCCATTTATTTGGCCATTGGCCGGCTTCCAATTGATACCCAAGCCAAGCCAATAGTTGATTAGACTAAGTAGAATCACTAGTGATGGCTTGATACAGAAGGATCTGCTATTACAATTTAAGGATGACAATAATTACACAGGGATGCACGTGTCATGAGTGGTGCGTCCAACTAAGAAAAATAAATACTGGTGCAGAGAAGGTAATATCTATTAAGTTTTGAATGAATATATTTATAACAAATGGCAAATACCAAATTAAATAATAATAAGTAAATTATAAATTGTTTCGCGGCATAAGCGAGGTGCACTGCAACCTACCCAATACATTTTTTTTATTTTTTTTATAGACAGGTCCGACAAATGACTCCGCCCCACTTGATGTTAAGTGATGGTGAAGTCTAGACGTGAAGATAGCTGTTACAGCAGTTCTACCTGCCACACCAGCCATCCTCACTTTGCCGGTCTGTATGTTGCTTCTTCACGCCTCTTTTAAAGGATCCCAGGTTGTAAGAAGGAGGGAACACGTGAGCAGGCAGAGCATTCCATTTACGGATAGTGCGACAAAGAAATGAGTCACCAAAGGACCTTGGACAAAAATGTATGGACGCTGCACCCACGTCCGCCACGGCTTAAACTAAATTTGTTTGAAAGGTATTACTTATAGTCAAGATCAACTGTGCCAAAGCGCATCAAATTCCATCCCGGGAGTCTTTAGTTTTTTTAAGTTAAATATGTACAAGTACTTTAACGAACGAACATTAATGAAACAAGGTAATTAATTTAGTTAGTAAATTCGACCCTACATAGGGTGCTCAGGAATTATGGGAGTACTTCACAAGGTGCAAAGGTGCCCCCTTATGGGTCAGGCCGTAAATTTTGCCACATTAGTTATAAAATAACTCTCCGCCACATTTAAAAAAAAAGGACGGTAATTACATTTTTTTCAATAACAGAATCATATTTCCTCACAAATGGTGAATCGCGATCAATAAATATATTTAAATATCTTCAAAACCTTAGAATTTTATAAAATATTTTGCTACAAAAAGCGATGAATTTTTCGTAAAATACGCTTATCCGCCCCGGTAGAGGTGCACTTTGAGCATCAGTAAAATCAAAAATAAAAATCTTTTTGATAGTCTGTTTGCTTTTACGCTATACAATAATAGTTAGCTAGACACATTTTAAATATCGTTTCCTATTACCTAAGAAATTTCATAAATTAATTCATTTTCACTCATTTTCGAAAAACATTAAAGTCCATTCCTTTGCGCTACTTTTTATTGCGCAACTAATAAATGCCCATTTGGTTGTGTTTAAAAAATAGCAGTATTCAAGTCTGAGTAGTGGCAACACCGAACATACTTTGTCTATGGTCAATACGCTGTCAGCGGTCATACTTTTTTCAGTCCAACATCAACATCGTTTGAAAGAAGTAAGTGTCATATTTTTTGCGGAGAGTGTTTTTTGATATATCACGGTAACTTTTTGATTTATATCTATACTTATTATTGCGCACGATTTAATGAAATGTTTGACATCTTTCAAGGCTTAATTTACATTAAAAAATAGTTTATTTATTAAGTTATAATGGGTTTTGTTTGCGCAACAGTTGCGCAAAAATGACTTTATGCAACTTTGCGATACCAGGGGCGTAGAATTTGCGCTACTAATTTTACGCTACCAAATAAAGGAGCTTACACACATAGGCTTGCAGGTGTTTTTTTTTAGCTTTTGTAATATTTGTGTTTTTTTTGAGGTTTCGATTTTAGTTTCTGCTAAGGAATTGTATTTCTAGCAATAGAACTCTCCGCTTTTTTGTAACACCTTTTAAGACTTAAAGATAAGAGTAAAAGTTGACGTTTGTCATACTTACCTATTAAAAGTGTGTTTTATTTTGTAGCACTGTCCTTACGTTACATATCTTGTATGCACTCCTTAACAATTTTGCGTTACCATTTTGCGTCACTCTGCGCTATGGACTCGTAGAAATTTTTGCGACACCATTGCGCTATGTGTGGCAAATTCTACGGCCTGGCCCTATATTATTCTGCCGCGCTAGAGTAAATCCAAAAATCCCCGCATGGGTTGGGTTTTTTTAAACATTCTGTTCGTTATAGTAAATTGTCTTCTATGTAAAACGGAGCGACCACAAATTACACAAACTTGTCCACGTTTGGGAAAAGACATGATTCCAGTTCATCCATACTAATTGACAAAACCGATAATCGTGTTCCAATATCCAAAGCGTGTTAGATAAAAATCAATCAAGTAGCAGGGAGCGCACAATCACAACGAAGTAAGGCGAGTCCACTATTTGCAACTGCAAGTCCTTCATGATTTCGTAAACCGTTTTGAAATGTCTCAGTAAGAGCAAGCGCAGGATGGTCGGCAGGCTTTGTCGTAGGTATATCTGGTTGTATACTACGATATAGCATCTTATTATGATTACTAATAATATAAAATGAAGGTACTAATATAAAATGAATTTATTCAGCTACTTAAATATGCCCATGTGTCGTATCTATTGACTACCAGGATATTTATTTTCGGTGTCATACTAAAAAAGGCTAGTTTTTCATAGATCTATCGATTCATACTAATTACATTGTTGGCGGAGCTGGGTGCGTTTTGCCCATTGTCCTTTCTTTGTACGCGTTGGAACTTGGAATTGTGGCCACAGATAGACAGCGACACCGAAGGCCACCGCGCGTGGTCCTCTGGAGGAAAGGGGAAGGTGGAATAAGAGAGAATAACTCTCTTAATATTATGTTAATTGTAAACAAAACAACATAAAATGTTATCCTTCAGCCATTTCATTGGATCATCATTATCATCAGCCGATTATCCCCACTGCTAGGGCACAGGCCTTCTCTATGGATGGAATAGGAAGATTGGGCCATGACCCACCACGCGGGCCCAGTGCAGATTGGCGGGTGCTAATGACTGCAGATGCAGCCGGGACCAACGGCTTGACGTGCCACCCGAAGCACGGAGAAAATCGAGATAGAAGATTTTGGTCACCCATCCAATGACCGACCACTGCGAAAGTTGCTGAACATCAACGATCGCAGCCCAACGCGCTAACCAGCCGCGCCATCGAGCTCCTTGTTTCATTGGATGTCGGTGTATAATTAATGGCTAAGGCGTAAAATTGGCTGACTTATTTTACCAATAAAGCAAATATTATAAGGACTAGCAGAACCACCATCCTTCTTGTACCTGACAAACGTTGCCCTGCTCAACAACAGTCCCAACAATCACATTGCATTAACAGAGGGAGCAATAAAACTACTGCTATGTAACTCTTTCAATGGTTATTACAATATAATTGATACATTATAGTAATAAAACAAAAAACAGTAAGTATACAAGTTCAAAATATATAATTTTGTCCTAAACATTGTTAAATTAAGATTTTCCCCAAATATAGTGTAGTTGTAATAATGATTGTACTAAATTCATTGTATACTGTTTTCATTATCTATAATTCAAATAAAGTATTTGTTAACTTCTGGCATAATTATTGTCTATTTCAATACGTAAATTTGATTGTTTTGTTTTAGATAATCGTTCTCGTAAATCATCAGGATTTTTCTGTCTTTTGGATTTTAAAATATTTCTTAAATCACTTTGTTCTTCAGTTTCAATATTTTTATTCTCTAATCTAGACCAAACACTGCTACTGCCCAGGGTATTCATTTTTTGGACACGACTCATGACATTGTGATCTGCATCTACACTATCAGCTGAAGAATCATCACTTGTCAAAGCTTCATTCTGAGTGACCTTTGAACCCAAACGAGACTGCATGGTAGATTTTGACATTTGTCTCTGATTTATTTTAAACTTGTCTGACAGTTTAGTGGTTTGTTTAGGTATATAGTGACTTTTAGAGTTCACTACTTCTATTGACAAGGGTGCATAAACATCTCTATCACTAGATGGTTCTCTGCTTTCTTCAGGAGATAATATTTTTTTGTGTTTGGTCTCCTCATCATCAGCATGCATTCTCATTCTTGGCGTCTTAGATTTCTTTTTCCATTCTGAATCTGAATCACTGTCATCACTAACACAAGTTTTTTGACCCCGTTTTCCTAAACGCATTGCTAGCCTTTTGTTTTTTATTTGAACAATTTCGTCCTTTTCATCCTCATACTTGTAACCAGGTGCCTTTCTTTGAAAAATTTCTTGATGGTCATATACTCCCCATGTTTGGCATAAGTCCCCCCAAGGATTTTTATTTACTGCATCCATTGACTGGTCAACAAACTGATGTGACTGCTTGTGAAAATCAGGTTTATTTTTTGGCATTTTCTTATCTCCATTGGTAGCAAATCTCATAAGAATCAAATCATTTTTAGGATGAGGAAACCCTTCCCTCCAATGATGGTCAGATTTATCTGCAAGCATGTTTTTCATATCGTCTCTTTGTATTTCCCGAGAATGCACTAACAATGCCAATGCAGCAGAAATATGATCTTGGCATACAATGTTGCCTGAAAAATAAATTGTGATTATAATATTTAAATCATCAAAGATATGGTATAAAAACAGGTCTATAATATTATACTAATAAATAACACAGAAAAACAAAATCATACTTTTTTTTTGTTGCATGAAGTTTTTCTACTGTTGTTTACTAATTTGGGTGAGCTGATTTCAAATCTACCCTCAGATTTTTTATAGCAGCTCTTGTTATTGAGATACAGGTACCGTCTTGAATTTACATAAGTAGTCGATAGTTTCTATCAATAGTAGTGTAACTTAACTAGTTCCTTTATAAATTTCATTATGTCTTCCTCAAGAAGGACGTGTTTAAATAATCATGATTGTTTTTGTGTTATTTGTGGAGAATATATGTTCAAAAAATTTCGTTTAAATGTGTCGGACTTTGTGAAAAAGGCATACTTTGACTACTTTGGGTTTCCGTAGCCGTCAAACGCTAAACCTTGGATACCAAGTTTGGTATGTAAAAGTTGTGTTGAATCTTTGCGACTGTGGGCAAACAAAAAAAGACCCACTTTTAAGTACAAAGCTCCTATGATTTGGCGTGAACCATCCAACCATCATAACGACTGTTTTTTCTGTGTGAAAATCATAGGAATAAACCATAAAAATTGCTCTGAGTAGATATATCCAAACTTAAAATCTGCCATAAGACCAGTCTTGAGTATTAGTGACACATCAACACCACAGCAGCCACATCTTCAGAAAATCCAGACCAGTGCAGCGGACAAACCGAAAAAGACGGCAGTAGTAGTGACAGTGATTTTGCTACGGTAGTCCCTGACCACTAAATCAAAATGATCTAAATGACTTGATCAGGGACCTTGGACTTTCTAAAACGGCATCAGAAATATTAGCTTCCCGATTGAAAGAAAGAAATTTATTGACCAGAGAAACGAAGATATCGTACTACCGTAACAGGGAAAAGGATTTACTTCTTTTCTTTACTAAAAAAGATAATTTTGCGTTTTGTACTAATATTCCGGGCCTAATGACTGCAATGGGATTAAAAGAGTATAATCCAAATCAGTGGCGGTTGTTTATTGATTCGTCAAAACGAAGTTTGAAATGTGTACTTTTACATAATGGTAACAAACTTGGTTCCTTACCTATTGCTCATTCTACAAAGGTTAAAGAAGAATATCCTACAATGTCTTTAGTTCTCGACAAAATCAAGATGATCGGTGATAAAAATTTCATCAACCATATGACAGCTGTCGAGAAATGTGCATGGGAAGAGTTTTTTAGGGTAGCGAGAAATTTTTTGGGCAATAGGAAATCTGACGGCTACATTCAGCACGTTGAATGGTGCTGATACACTTCCAGCGTCTTGAATGCAACATGAGTATTAAGCTTCACAACTTTCACAACCATCTAGACTATTTTCCTGAAAATCTCGGTGACCTAAGCGAGGAACAAGGAGAGCGATTTCACCAGGATATTCGCACTATGGAGGAGAGGTATCAGGGTATTGGAATGAACATATGATGGCTGATTATTGTTGGAGCATTCAAAACAGTACTCATAATACACCTCACCCTAGAAAATCCAAAAAAAGGAAATTTTATTGAGAATAAATATATTTAATGTTTTTTTAAACTTTAACTATGTGCATTTTCAATGGAAAACCCTGTTACTTGGTTACTCCAAAACTAGAGCTGCTACATAAAAACGACATATATTTTTGAAATCAGCGTGGAAAAACTATTCAGATTCATGTAAAAAATCCCATGCAACAGACATGCTGTTTTCCAGTGTAATTAACAAGAATTTAAAAAGGTGTTTATATAGCCTCAGCGACATAAGTACAATGAGCATAAATTCATTCTTTAATGAAGATGATGTGCACTCAACTCTAGCTTTAAGAGCATTTCCATACACTAATCATTTCCCAGTTTGTATATTTAAACACTAGTTTTTTTGAAGTTTTAACCAGTAGAAGTGGATATAGTAGTCAAATAAATGAATGAATTGAATTGAATTAATAGACACTTTCAGACAAACACTAAGTGAAAGGGTTAAGAATTTGTATACTATAATTGCATTATCTGAACAAAGTTCTTCAAGACTAATACAGTTAATTTGCCCATCAACAGGGAATCACCACCCTCAAACACACACCCCTTTCAGCTCAGTAATCCAGAAAAAAATCCAACAATAAATGAATAATACATCATGTTTTCATCATGTGTACAAATTGGTGATGGTTTAATTTCCATCAGGTAATAGAATTTATTGTCGAGATATGCCAGTGAGCAGTCTTAATGTCAATACTATATAATAAAACAATACTAATAACATAACGGTAGAACTGCATAGACCAAAAAATACTGAGTAAATTAAACAAGTTTCAACGGTATAGGTGCACTGATTTATTTATTTAAGACATTTCACATCTTTTTCAGGCTGCATCAGAATTATGATTTGTATTTTTGTCTCCACACCGTCCAATCAGCAGATTTTATTCGCAGTTTCCAGCCCGTACTGGGTAATATATTTCACATCCTTTTCAGGCTGTCATCAGAATTAAAGTAAAAATCATAAATCTGACAATGCAGGAAAAGGATGTAATACTTAATTAATAAAAAAAAACAGTGCATCTATACTGTTGAAACTTGTTTTATTTAATGAGTTGTGTGTGTGGCAACCTAAGAAACAAATAACATACTGAGTGCTGAAATGTGTTGTGTAGCAAAGATTAAAATTTAAGCTTATAAATAATGGGTACCTACATGAAGTATTATCAATCCACTCCAAAGAAACAGGTTTGAAATCTTCCAAATACTCAAATATTTCTCTAGTAGTTAATCCATAAACACCATTCAGATGGATTGCATCAAAGCGAAAATGTCTCTCGTTTCCACTTTCAACACCAAGATTGGCATAAAGTTCATCAATCTGTCTCTGAGTAACTACTTTATTTCCAGTCAGATCTAATCCAAAGCGTTTAGCTCGTTCCTCTAACTTGAATGCATCAATTTTTTCCAATTGTTTGACTAATAATCCATTTTTATCTGCCATAAACATCTGTAAACAAAAAAGTACGAGTGTATAAAATAAAGTATATTTGTCATCAAGTAAACATACAGTCGTCTAGATAATAAAAAAAATGTGTAAATATATGAATTTGGAACGTTAAAAAGGAACAATATTTACCACTGTCTGCTGTGTTTTTGAAACATCCATTGAACGCTGTGGCAGAGATTCCACTTCATCCACAAGCATACTGCTATCATCATCACTCATTTCACCTTCTTCTCTTTCCATAATGTTCGTCCAAAAATTGCCTATCTGTCTTTATAACTTAATATTAACCTGCTTATGTTAGTTTTCTGTAATAACGTAAAAACTAAGTCGATCGAATCTTGATTATTCCTCTGATTATTCATTTCTTTTTTGTTGAAGTTCTCCCGTTTTAGGGAAGGCAAAGGGAACAATGCCCATACAGCCTGGTCTTTAATTAAATTTATCTTCTTTTTGTTTTTACATTAGAATGTCGGTGTGACGCATTCTAATGTTTCTTGGAGTGTTTGGCACGAAATGTATCGAGTTGGCTTTTTCGATAAGCTTCTGTGAGGTAGTCAACACTACAATAAAATTCTCACGTCCACTTGACCGGAATAGCGTATATTTTAATGATTCCACTAATTCTTCAGTTACGCAGACAGTTGTTACACAAAACCACACCAATTTTACTTCACAATATCCACAATGAACGAATTTAAGAATAATTAAAATAAGACGCCAACCGCACTCGATGAAATCCCGCCAAAAACCCCTGATTATTCACTAAAATAACACAATACACTTTTTTTTTAGTTCAATTCTTCTCTATTGAGAAAGGCAAAGGCAAAGTCATGCAGCCATCGTCATATTTTTGTTAGATATATTGGATGGTCGCTTAGCTTCAACCATGTGTGGAATGAGGTTCAGGTTATTAGATGAGTTCAGCTGAAATAATATTGTCTTTAACTCGTATTGCACTTGTATTTATTAGACACAATAAATGAGGCAATTACATGTCCAAATGATCTTATATTTAAATGGATGTAAAAACAAAGTAGCGAATACAAAATGGACATTACAGAAAGGCAGAGCAAAAAGGAAGTAACGAGAGATTAGCGGTGGGCGTTTAAACGAAAAGCGCTTAATCAAGCGCGCTTAAAATATTAAGCTTGTAAGCACGCTTTTAAGTATAAGCGTTATAAGCTTTTCACTTAAAAAGTGTGAGTAAGCTTTTCACTTAAAAAAGTGCAAGTATATTTTTTACTTAAAAAGTGCAAATCCCGCCATCTATGTCTTTGCCAGGAAACTACATACTTCGATCCTACTAGTCCACTACAGTATCGAAAAATGGGTACGCGGAATTCCTTGGAACTAAATATTTCACAACATCACAGCCATAGAACGCGCGACTACAGCTCCGCGTCGGCGTGCCATCTTTTGTGAGCCGGTTAATACAGCATGCGAATTATTATAATGCGACGTAAAAAAAATGAACTTTTTTAAAATTTGGTCGGATAACCAAAACTTTTTTCGTTAAAAGCGTTTAATTAAACGAAGTCGAAAAGCAGTACGCTTGTCACTGTGACGGGGTAAGAGCGCGTGGGTGTTGTGCGGTGTGTTTGCATACTTGCTTGTGTTAATGCGTTTCGTGTATTGGTTTAATGTGCATATAAAATAGATAAAAGTGTGTATATTAAATCAAGAACTTTTGAGTACGCCTGGATCACGAGTATATTAACTCCAGACAGTCCTAAGTTTATAAAGTACGAAAGAAAGTTCATTGACTATTATAAAAATATTTGTAGCATAATAATTTTATAAATAATTTTCTTTTAATATTGTTATTTTGAATAGCGCCATCTGTCTTCATACACATAAATCATCGAATATTGTTGGCTGCTTAAATATAGCAAACGAATGGAAACTTAGTGAAACTAGTAGATGTGTTTGGGAAGTAAGATAGATGGAGTTAGTGTATGATTTCTGTCGAATAATTTACAAGATTGGATGTGACGTCGCATGAATGTTCTAGATAGAATTTCAAGAGGCGTGGCCTGCTTAACCGGTTTAGGTGATTTTGCGTTCCTTATAAGGAGATAGAAGCGAAACCTTAAGCCAGTTAACACGTGACCATATGCCACTATAAATAGCTGTGCGCAGCCGAATTAGGTCTCTTTTTGCTGATCGAACCCTGGAACATCCAGTTAATTGCACAAGTGACTGTTCATAAGCAAGTTATAGTCAGTGCATTGTTAATTTGATATTTCTCCCCGGATTAACGGGTAAGTTCAATATACTTAATTCGATAGGTTATAGGTCAATTTAGGCTTTTAATTGTACTATAGGAAGTGTGTGTAATTATTTCTAGGTCCTTTGAGGAAGCTAATAAAATTTCTAGACAAAAAACCAATTGATTAGAACTGCTCGGAATTTCTTTGGAAATATATAAATGAATGCGTTAGATGTAATGGGCCTGTAAATTGAATCCTGGAAAGTAGACGTGTTCATGTGATGACAGCACGTCCTGATTCAATCGTGAGGACATTTGAGTCTACCTAATGGTACCGAGGTCTTAAAAAGCTAAGTAAATCTGTACCTATTTAATATTTAACCAGTGCATTCTCCGAATAGCAAAATTTCTGTATCTTAGAACTTAATTATGGATTTAAATTAGCAAATTGTAAAGTAATTAAATAAGTAACTTGTATTTCACTTCACCTTGTTTAACATTTTCTAAAACCAATTGTTTATATATAATGTTAACTTAAAGATATCAGCATCTTAACATATCATTGAATATATGCACATCATTTAATCTTAATCCTTGACTTTGTAAAAGCTATATATATATATACAAAGATATCTATAAATAGTATTAAGAGTCTCAATGTATGTTGAAATATCTTCTGAATATTGACAATATATATAGATCTTGTTCACTGCGGTTATAGATTTTTATTTAACTCCCACAAATATCAGTATTTCGGCGCCCTGAGTATAAAAATTTAATCTTTAGTCTCATACAAACCCCTGTGTCGGTTGGTGAAAGCGATAAATGCTACATGTTTATTATAAAATCTAAATTCAATTGAAAATCTTTCGTTTTTAATGCCAATCAATTCATTAGGTTTAAAAAAACTTTTTAATAAAAATTTCATTAATAAGAAGAAAAAACCATATTTATACTTAATCATATTAAAAACGATAATAAACTTTTCACGCTTTTTTAAACGATATACCTAAACGAAAACACAACACAACGTCGCGCTTTTTACGCATGCTTTTGAACGTTTAAGCCAATAAGCGTTTAAACGAAAAACCTTTTTTTCAAGCGCGCTTATTTTAAAAAGTACAACGTTTAAACGCTTTTAAGAAATAAGCCGTTTTTTCCATCTCTACGAGAGATGTGAACACCAGTGTTGCCAGTAGTTTAGTGTTGCTATACATGGAGTATTAAGTTTAATATTTGATGGGCAATTAACGTAAAACGAGTTGGAAATATAATCAAATATAATAGTTTTATTTGGTATTTACATAAAAGACACACAAGACCTAAATATATTTTACAAGACAGTTGACAATGTCAACTACTCTCTTATTTAGTCATAGAGATCTATGAAGAGTGTAAAGACTCTTTATTACTGGTGGTATAATTAAGACTGTCCTCTTAACATCCCCAGGACTTTTAGGGACATTTCAAACCTTGGAGTCCAATTCTTTTACTTAGATCTAGCAATCTTGGTCCAAAGAGAGGTTTTGTGAACATATCGGCGAGTTGCTTTTCCGAGGAAACTTGTTTCACAGATAGTTCACCCTTGGTGACACATTCTCTTATGAAAAAATGCTTGAACTTTATATGTTTTGTTCTTCTATGATATTCGCAGGGAGGATTTTCTGATAATTTTATCGCAGACTCATTATCTACATATATGACAGGCTTTTCGACTTCTGTTAATTCTTCTAAGAGTCCTTGTAGCCATATAGTTTCCCGTGCAGTTTCGGTGAGCGCTATAAGCTCAGCTTCTGTAGAAGATATGGCTACAGAAGATTGTTTCTGACTCTTCCAGAAAATTGGTCCAGAAAACAAGAACACCATGCCTGTAGTAGAGTGTCCAGTAACAGAGTCTCCACCGTGATCTGCATCGCTGTAGCAGATTAGCTTTCTGTCTTTTTCATTTCTAAAGACTAGTCCGGTGTCCATAGTTCCCTTCAAATATCTTAGAATTCTTTTTACTTTTAAAATATCCATCTGCGTTGGATTTTCAAGATGTCTTGAAGCCATACTCACTGCATAGTTGATGTCAGGTCTTGTGGCGACCATTAGATATGCCAGCGCACCTACCGCTTGGCGATAAGGAAAGTTTATGTTGGCTCCTTTGTCATCATCCTCCTTCAAGGTTTTCACAGCAGGAGATGGAACGCTTTTGCAGTCAATCATGCCAAACCTTTCTAATATTTTCTTGGTGTAAGACGTTTGGTATACAGTTATATCACCATCTTTAGATTTACCAATTTCGAGACCAAGAAAAAAGCTGGCTGGTTTTGTTGTGATTTTGAACCGCTGCTTTAATTCTTTTATGAAATTAACGCCTGCTGCTTCACTACTTGACGCTACTAATCCATCGTCAACGTAGAGTGCAATTATTACTTGGTTTCGTATATAAAGGCAAGGGTCATTAGTGCATTGTTTAAATCCAGATTCCACCAGATACTGCGATATACAGGTGTTCCAGCACAAAGGCGCTTGTTTTAGGCCATAAAGACTTCGTTTCAGCTTGCATACTCTCTCTGTACCATCATTGAAGCCTTCAAGTTGGTTCATGTAGATTTCCTCTTTGACTGTTCCATTGAGAAAAGCTGTAGACACGTCAAATTGCTGTAATTTTTAATTTTGTTGTGCAGCAATCCCTAAAAGTGCTCTAATTGTGCTCATCCGGACTACTGGACTAAAAGTCTTTTCGTAGTCAATGCGAGGTTTTTGTGAAAATCCTTTGACAACTAGTCTCGCCTTATATCGTTCAATTGTACCATCTGGGCATCTTTTTATTTTATAAACCCATTTGCAGGGTAGTGCTTTTCTATTCTTAGGTAAGTCGACGAGATCCCAAGTATTCATTTCATTTAGCGAGTTCATTTCACTCTGCATGGCTTGTTTCCAACTGCTATATTCTTTGCTTTTCATAGCGTCTCTGAATGTCTGAGGTTCTTCCATACCATCCTCATTTATAGCAGTTAAAACATAGTCCTCAAATCTTTTTGGT